GGGGGGGGGGGAAGCGGTGATTCAGACGCGCGTGCACGCCCAAACTCCCATCCCATGGTGCACGCGCGGACTCCTCACCATATTTGGCAGCCCGCGGCTCTCTTCCGACGCCCCGCCGTCCAATGGGCGTCCGCGCCTCGCGCCGCGCCGATGACTCGAGCTGCGTTACCCCCCCCCCCAAACAACAAACCCACCGAGACCAACATGTCCGGTCCCATCCGAGAGGCATTGGTCACTACAAAGGACACGTCCTACAGTTTATGTCATTTATTTTATTTTTTTTATTTCGTCTTATTTACAGTTAAGTGCTGCGTACAAATATTACAAAGTGTTACGTTCAGGTCTACCGGCCCACATCGCAGAGCAAGTAAGTGATATGAAAGGAAGGCAGTTGTCAGTAAACGCTACAACAAACACACACACCTGCCAACAAAAAAATAAAATAAAAACAACAACAAAAAAAAAGTCCGAAAGGTGTGAAACTTTGAGTTAGTATCATTCTGTACATTTTTGCTCGCCGGTGCGCGGGATGCTCAGTGCTCGACTCCAGAATAAGTTGGCGTGCACGCGTTTCAGAAGAGAGAAAAAAAAACAAAAAAAAACAAAACAAGGGGCCGGTTCACAATAAAGTGACGACGAGGTGCGCACGTGCCATGCCGTGGTCCGGCTCCATGGAGTGATGCTTTTTTTTCTTTCTTTCTTTCTTTTTTTTTCAGTTTTGCGTGGGGACTGGGGGGGGCACGGTCCCGCAAAAGAGTCTCCCAGTGTGCGCCTCGACATCCGGTCGCGTCCCACCAACCAGTTTCCAAAACCTTTTCCGTTCGCGTGCGCAAAGTTCTGGAGTGAAACGAATAATAGGAAAGACTGGTGGGCAAATGCGCGTCCCTGAAACATCCACGAGTTGCGTTTGGTCCACCAAGCAGTGTGCCTTGGCTCTCTCTCTCTCTCTCTCTCTCTTTCTTTCTTTTTTTTTTTTTTTTGTCTAGTAGGCCTGGAGCTGCTGCGTCAGGATGAGCTGACAGCCGCTGTTGACGTGGTCCATGACCTTTTGCTTGAGCAGGGCCAGCTCGTCCCGCAGGACGTTGGCGGAGGAGACCAGCTCCGTGTTCTGGCTCTTCAGGTTCTTGACTCTGTCCTCCAGCCGGGAGATCCTCTCCAGCTTCCTTTTCCGGCACTTGGACGCGGCCACCCGGTTCCGCATGCGCTTGCGCTCCGCCTTGATGCGCTCCTGGGTCTCCATGTCGATGGGGGACAGCGGCGGGGTGTCCCCGGACATCTCGGGCACCGTCTGCGGCTCCTCCTTGAGCGCCTGCAGGCGCGCGTGCTGCGCCGCCAGCTGGCGGTCCATGTGGTTGCCGGACGGCTCGTGCGGCGGCGGCGGCGGGGCGGCGTGGAAGCCCGCGGCCGGGTGCGGGTGCCTCTCCCCGGCCGGCGCGGAACCGGGCGCGGACCCCTGGGTCCGGCCGAAAGCGGCCAAGTTCGTGTACTCCGGGGGCTCCGCGCGCACCGTGCAGCTGTAGGGGATCCCGCCCGCCTCGCACGCGCCGCCGGGACCGGGGGCCACGCCGCCGGTGGCGGCGCCCGGCTGCGCGTCCGGGTGGGCGCCGGGGATCTGCTGGTAGTGGAGCTCCGCCAGAGCCCGGACGAAGCCCTCGGCGAAGCCCTCCTGCTCGTCGGTGATGTTCTTGGGGCAGACGAACTGGGTCGGGGTGGGGGTGGTCAGCCCGTTGCACGATTGGATGATCAGCCTCTCCAGCTCGGGCGAAGCCAGCTTGAGTAAGCCCACGTCCGGGGACGTCAGGATGTCCAGGGCCTTGGCCCCCAGGTGCGGCTTGAAGTTTTTCGGGTCGTTCAGATTGAGGGTCATGGTCTGCTTGAGGGTCTTGGGGTTGAACCCGTAAACGGCCGTCCCGTCGTGTTGAGAGTTGGAGGCGTTTACGGCTTCGTCGTAGAATGTCGCTTCCATTTTTCTGGACATAAAGTTATGATCGCCCCCTGAGGGAGTTTCTTTTTCTCTCTCCTAGGAAACGGTAATCAAAAAAAGTCCACGATCGGCTGTTTACATGCGTCCCGTGACGGTCTCTCCGCTGCCCCGCGGCAGAATCTCGCCTATTGTTGAACTTCAACTCACTTGACAACTTTGCGTCCCGAGAAAACTTTTCTTTTGTGCGCTTCGCGGTCATCGACAAGAGAGAGTAGGAAAAAAAAGAGGACCCTCTTCCCCTCGCCGCCGAGTGAATTTGTTTTTTTTTTTTTACACCTTCAGTCCTCTCTTTGATTTCTCCTCCCTTCCCAAAAACTCAAAACAGTGCCCTGAAAACGGGTAATACTTTCAATCACTTCCAACGTGGAGACGAACTTTATCCACCTCTAAGCTGCAGCTCTACTGAAAATAACAATGATGTCACTTCTACGGCCCGTGATTGGCCGGAGATGATTCGGTGGGCAGGGGCTTTCTAATGACATGCACGTTGCTCTGACAACCCGGCCTTGTCCCCGCCCCCCCCGCGGTGGCTTCTGGGATTAGGTAATGCGGACGGTGGAGCGATGGACTCTGGGATTACGTAGTGTTTTTGAATATTTAGTTACCCGCTCAATTTCTAATGGTCTGTCCCGAGCACGACACGTTGGAGTCGGAAGACGTAATTGACACCACACGACGACGAACAGCCAAAGATAAAACTAAAGAAAGTGTTGTTTATTCATTTTAAAAAGTTCTTATCGAATAGCTGTGACTAAGAACTGGATTAAAAAAAATAAAAAATACAGTACAGGAAGTGAGTGCTGTTTGGCTCGGATAGGATAGTTAAAGATAGAGGGCAGAACACGAGCCTGACCTACATCTAGAGCTCGTTTAGTAGGGGAATTTATTTTAAGGAGATACGTTCTTATAAAGAAGGAATAAATAAAGAACCCCACCCCCACCCCCCCTAACTAGCCAGTTGAATTCAAATTTTACAATTCGTGGCATAGTGATAGTGATCTGGTTTTTACTGAGCTGTAAATCTCATATCAAATTAACGACAGCCCATAACATTTTACATTGTGCAATTACCTATATGACATAACAAAATCAAGTCAAATGCAAAACAAGTCTATCATTACTGCTTCTACTGGAGCTGAAATGGGGATTTGTACAATGCTGAGTAGGAAAGACATCAGAAAAGCTTTTGTTGCTGCCTGTTTATCTGGGAAAGGCTGGATATTTTTGGAGTTTTGGAGAGATTATTCACGGGAGGAAAATGGTCAAGGCGGTTGTCCATTTTCCTGGAAAACTCACACGAAACGGAAAAGGAACAGAAAAGTGAAAACTCATGTCTGACCCTAAAGGCATAGGTCAGCCGGTTGGATGTTAAAGTTCCCGGTTTTACAAATACATAAAGCCTGAACAAGAATCAGAACGCACCACAAAGCGGACACGTTTACTCAGAATGCAAAACCACATTGGCAAAAAACCTCATGCTTACAGTAAAAGCATGGTGGCGGGAGAATGGTGATTTGGCCACAGGACCCGGACGCCTCACAGCCACCGAGTCCCAGATAGCCTATGAACCTGAGTGGGATAGGGCAGGTTTCATCTCGGCTTGTACAAGTAGTCTTAAATCTGTCTTTTCATTGGACCGGACATGTGCCCACCGCACGCCGGCCTTTGCCTACAGGCCTCATTGTTTAACGTGAGGCTACATTAATGACCGAAGCCGGTGCCGCCGCAGTCCAGTCTGTCGGGTTTCTTCTGTTGTATTATTCAGCGCGCTCTCCTCAAGCCAACTATAAATAAGTTAGCAGCCCCTGTTAAACTGGGATAACCAGAGCAGGCTCGAGGTCAACGCTTTTCACGACACGCCCGTTTGGAAATATTCGAAGCCCTTAAAGAAGGGTCTGAACGTCGAAATGCTTCAGAAACATGTTCTTCCAAATGTTAGTGGAAAATTTTCTCCCCTCCCGTTTCGCATTTTTCTTTCCGTCTCCTCTGTTTTGCTGCAAAACCTCTGTGTCTTTTGCCTCCTCGTATCAGTGTGTGCACCTGTGTCAGGACCACCGGCCGGGATTTTCCTCCCAAACGGCCGCCGCGCTTCCTGTTTCCCTGCAAGCTTTTCCCTTCTTCCGTGGGCCTGACAGGGTCGCCTTTAGAGAATAAACCCCTCACCCCACCACCTCCCTTTCTTTTTTCTTTTTTTCTTCTGCCCAGGCCAGCTGTTTCCACTGCATGGAGTTTTCTAATCAGGAGCTGGCCCAGTTGCCCCCCCCCCCCCAACAACAGGACCCACTGGTGTTATTGTACAGAAAGGGAATGGTCCACTGCCCCGTAATGAGACCTAAACACGGAGAAAGGTTTGCGGTGCGCATGTTGATGTTATCAACAAAGCTAAAGTTTTGACTGCCCTCCGTGGCGGACTTCAGGGGGACGCGCAACACTCGAGCACTGTGAGAAAACCAGAGAGACAGATGAGATTTCAAACACTGTCCACGCAGTGTTTGTCGAAGACCATCTGTTTCTTCCTGTCCCGCAGCTTGTCTCTGTACTCCATCTCCGCTGACCGTTCCCGATCCAAACACGCCGGCCGCGGCCAGCAGGCACTTCCTTTAGACAGCTGCTTATCTCCTCTAAGAAAACAACACAATTGTGTAAGTAGACAAAGTGTTTTCCAGAGGAATGGGGACAGTCGGAGGGGTTTCAGCGGCTGGCCATTGTGTGAACCCCTTTCCAAGAGTCTGCTTTGAAAAATAGTCTGCTTCCAGATTTGCCTGTGAGTAATGGCAGAGGATGGGAAACCACAACGACTGTCTAGAAGTGATATTAAGCTGCTAGTTAGTAAACAGCTAGTTATGAAATTTATTTCATCTGGACACCAGATATTACACTTTTCTACTGATGTATTCTTAAAATGATTATTCCATAATTCTCCATTTAAAAAAAAATCATCTGCTCCCTTATGTTGAAGTAAATTATTTATTTGGCTTCTTTTTTTGTCTTAGAGAACGTTGACTGATTCGAGTAATATTTGCTTCTTAGAGTAAACAAAAAGCTTCCTCCGTTTATCTGCTTTTCAGCACTACAACAAACGATCTGCAACCCCGACTCTTAGATCAATAAAATAAACAGGGTGAGACATTTAGCATCATGTAAACAACATAATGAAATGTCATAAAGTGGCATCCTATTCTGAATAGAACAAAGGAATCCCATGGGAAATATGAGTTCAGCTTGAATTTGAGGGCAGGACTAAAGGAGAAAAAACTGGGACAGATTTATGTTTTTCAAGTTTTTAGCACCCAAGAGACCGGTCGATTAACCTTTTTAAGCAGACTGTTGACCCCGTCTCACAGCACATTCTGGCTCTTCTGTGGTCCTGGATTTTTATTCTTTGGCTGTATCTAGGTTTTACTATGAACAGAATGTTTTAGATCCAGCACCTGGACTATAAAGTCATGTCTATGCCTATGTGTGTGTGTTTTGAAGTGACACACTAGCACCCCCTTCCTCCCTCCGATGACGTGATCAGGATGGAGGGGGCAGCCGGTACCTTCAGACGTGGATGAGTAAGATCCACGTCACCAAGCAGCCAACAATAATTTTATTTGCAGTTGAGAAAACACCCAACCGAGATTAATTCATGAAGTTTTATTCTTATAGTTTTAGATGAGCTCCGGCCTCATTTAAAAAAAATGCATTGTATGGATCATTGTGCAGGTTTTGGACATATTTTTACATTTAGTTTTTATTTTTCCTTTCAATTTGCCCTTCACATTCTTAGAGTTTCCAATATACTGAGAGTGGAGTTTTAGTTAAAAGTCAATATTACATTTAAAATATTTACTGTTGTTGAGCAATTCTGGGGAAAATAATAGTGTAGAGTAAATATGATAAAACCTAAACAGTTTATGCTTATTAATATGATTCCCTTGACAGATACAGTTTCGGTGTGATTTTAAAATATGGTCATTTATTAAACTAGCGATTAAGTGGTAATGCGCGACTTTGTCGCGTTTGTTCCCTTTGGCTTCCCGTACAAGCCGTCCCGTTTTTACACTGCACAGCGCACCGGTGAGAAACTTAAAACTACAAACGTGAACGTTTCCCGGACTGTAATGTTATCTCGGTCCCTGTTTTGGCTCGAATATGTTGGGGAAGGGGAGGGGGGATAATTTAGGGAAAGAACGTTATTTGCTTTTCGTTTGTTTTGTTTGGTGTTGACTTTGTTTGTGTTTCGAACGGGAATCTGTGCACCCCAATAATGAAAATATTGACCCTTCCCTGTCGCCGTTGCACTGGAGGGCTTTCACGTCGAATATTAATGAAGTCAGAGAAAAATACATTCCCAAAAATAATACGTACACGTCGCTTGTTAGCTTTCAACCATTTCACCTTGCGGGTGTCGACATTGACGGTGGGACCTGGTTAATAATCCACCGGCTCTCCCTCCTCTGCCCCCCCAGTACCCCCGGCTGGCCTCCACATGGCAGAGCTCTTCTATGTTGGCGTGGACGTGGGCACGGCCAGTGTGAGGGCCGCCCTGGTGACCCGAGAGGGCCAACTGAGAACCACCGCGGAGGAGCCCATCGGCATCTGGGAGCCGCGGCCGGAGCACTACGTCCAGTCCTCCGCCGAGATTTGGCGGAAGTGCTGCACGGTGGTCAAGGTATTTGGAGCTCTAAGCCCGGATTGGTCCACAGCCCTCTCACAAAAAACATATATCTGCACTCCAGTCTGTTACAGAAGCCGTTTTTGTGTCTTCCAAACTGAATTATTAATTATTCGAACAAATATCCGTTCCAGGGTCTATTTGATGTGACATTAACTGTATAATACGTTCTGAATCCCAAAAAAATGGCAAGAAATGAAACCAACAGGAGACATTTTTGTGTTTGTGAGCGTGTGTCGTTGCGTATAACTTGCAGAAAGTTACCCATGGTGTCCAGAGGAGCCAGGTCCGGGGGGTGGGCTTTGACGCCACCTGTTCTCTTGTGGTTCTGGACGAAGGTTTCCAGCCTGTGGCGGTCAATGAGGATGGTGAGGAATTTACCTACTTGAACACATTTTGACCTTTTGTTCGCTGAGCTGGGATCTTGGTGGATATGATATACTTGTGGTGCTTCTTTTGCATCCATCGTGGCTTTTTAAGGTTGCCCTGATAGCTCCAGATGGGATTTTTGTTTTTGGCGTTGCGGTTTGAAGCCGTCCAGCTGTGCTGTTCAGCCGAAGACAAATAGTTTTAGCTGTAATGCGAACCGAGACCTTTCTGACCCTGTAAGGGGAACGGCCTCCCTCGTAGTGAGGTCAGAGGTGCGAGCTGGCCTGGACGTGGTAACGATTCATGCACAAACGCATTGAAAGATTTATGCTGCTCGAGGTGTATTTACGAGGGGGTCAGCGCTTCAACTTTGGTACGCGTTGTTTCTAATCTGTACCTGCACTTCTGCTCTTGCCTTTTGGCCTCCCAGGTAACGCAGAGAGAAACGTGGTGATGTGGATGGACCATCGAGCCGCAGAGCAGGCCGCCCGGATCACGGCTGCCGGCCACCGGGTCCTGAGCAGGGTGGGGGGGGTCATGTCGCCAGAAATGCAACCCCCCAAGCTGCTCTGGTTGAAAGAGGTGAGAGGTGAGCGAGGTCACCACCCGGCCACCGGTGTCTTATGTTTGTTTTTTTATTGCCGCCTTTTGAACTGCCCGCTTGCCTCGGTCAAATAAAGCAGCCAGCATCTGTATTCTGATTGATTTCTTTTGTTCTCCTTCTTTTTCTGACCCCTACGTTTGGCCGGTGCGTTACACTTTTGCTGTCTCTTTTTCAGAACCTAAAGGAAAGCTGCTGGGACAAAGCCGGGCACTTTTTTGACCTCCCGGACTTCCTGTCGTGGAAGGCGACGGGCTCGTTGACGAGGTGAGCGCTCCTGGAACGGTAGCAAGGTTGACTATAGCTGATCCCCTAAACCTGTAATCTTGAGTCAATTCAACACGAGTCATTCAACACGTGGAATGAGGGCGTGGTCAAATATGTGGATGTCTCTTTAACTCAATTCAAATACAACCGTTGACTGCTAAAGACGTCTTTTGTGTTTTTCAACGCGAGTGGCTTGGGGGACGATCTGCTAAAGCTTGTCCGTAAATATCGGCTTCTAGACAGAGTATGTAGTAACAAATTGACCCTCTAGGTGGCAGTGCCACTTTTGATGGGAGATGAGCATAGATTGTAGGCAAATAAGAAAAACGTAACAGTTCGCTATGAGAAAATATGTCGCCGGTGAGACGCAAGTAGAGGAAGAACGGAATAAGGTAGAAACACATTTTCTTTCCTGATGAAAGAAGAGAGTCTACTCTTTCTTTTGGTGTGTTCGGTGTTTAAATAGTCATAGCACAAACTATTCTGTGGCTCTTGAAAAATCAGTCAAAATGCTCAAAAAACTCTGGCAGTATGGGACTCTCTGTTCTGAAAATGGCTGGCTGGCATTCAATGAGTTAAAAACGTGCCCTACAGAGTTAATGATGACAGTGTTCTTGGTGATGTACTGTCCTACAGCTGTCCTGTGGAAAGTGCTGTCCTTGGATCAAATGTTTGTTTATAAGCAAGAACAGGGTAGCAGAGCCAGTTCCAAGTAATGTGCCCTTTATCGTGCACAGTTTTTTTTTTTTTTCATACCGTTGCCCTCACATGGTGCTCTGCGCTAACGGACTCACGTCGTCCTTCAGGTCTTTATGTACTCTGGTGTGTAAATGGACGTACTGCCCTCCAGAAGGATGGGACGCCAGCTTTTGGACAAGCATCGGACTGGAGGACCTTCTGGAGAACAACTTCTCTAAAATGGGTGTGTGGCTAGAAGTCGTTTGTTTTCAATCGTCTTTTTTTTGGTCCGATAACTTCGGACGGAACTGAGCGTCAGACTCACGGACCGCCGGCGTCTTTTCTGCCACCGCCCAGGCAGCGAGACGTGTTCTCCGGGAAGCCCGCTGGGAGACGGACTGACCCAGGAGGCAGCGGCGGATCTGGGATTAAACCCGGGGACGGCGGTCGGCAGCTCTCTCATCGACGCCCACGCCGGAGGCCTAGGTAACGCTCTGTGAACCACGTTTATCAGGGGAGGAAAATATTACCCTGTTTCAATGTTTTGGCCCTCCATTGAAATAGTGTAAAGTTCATTTAATGCTAGCTCAGTTTGGACTACCTCATGACCGCGATTTCTCCATTTGTTATTCTCAAAGACCTCTCCAGTCCCAAAATGAACTTGATCACAGTCCGGTCTCTCTCCTTTAACAGTGGAATGGAACACGGTCACCACTGGCTATCCGAGCCGTCTTATCTTATCTGTCTTTGATTATCTCTCCTCTCCTGGGTCATTTAACCTAGTTTGTTCACCTTTGACAGGTTGTGTGCAAATGTGAAGCTAAAGTTAATTTGGAATTGCCATACCTGTGCCGACAAAGTAACGAGGTAGCAAAAGCCTCAAACGAGGAGGTCATTCAACCGCGGCAGCAAACAAACGTCCAGTTTTATTTGTTATTGTTATTGTTTATTGTTGTGATCGCCTAAGGCACAATCGCACCCCTACAGCCGGGACATTGTGGTCGTGGGTCGTGGCGTGCGCGTCGCATGCAAATAGGCGGCCGGCCTCAGCTCATTTGTAATGGAAAACCACCTAAACCGAGCCGCGGTGAGGCAGGTGGAGCCCAACAGAACCAGATAGAGAGGGTGCAGATAGAAAAGTCAGATAAAACAAACGGGTAGGGGACTTTCCTGCTCATCTCAAGGCATGCAAGTATACAGTCTGCGGCCTATCTTTAGCCAATGTCCAGCAGCTCACCTTTTGAAATCATCGAGGCGGCTAACTTCACGATAAAGTAAGTTAGCTTTGTCACCAAAAACACAATAAACAAAAACAAACGGAAAACCTAAGGTGGACGCAGAGGAAAATGGGGAGTAATGGCAGTACCTGACCATCCTGCCCTTAAAACAAGAACCTTGCTCAGCCCCCCCCGCTTGTGGATAACTTGCATCCTCCTCGTTACTGACGTCTCTCCCGTGTACGTGGCCGAGTGTGACGTCACAGAAGCTAAACCGTTTTCAGATTTGACGATCCTCCCCCAAAGCTAAGAAACAGAAGAGTTAATGAGCAGAACTACCAATATAAAGATCAGATCACTCGTTTCCAGTTGCGAGTCTCTTTGGTTCACACACTTGTTTTTGGTTCAAAATGGTTCAAAGATGCCTTGGCAAGCGGACCGGAGGGAAAACAGGCCACAGCCCAGTCCCAAAGCTGTATATTTTTCCTCCTTTTGTGAGATTGTTGGAAGAAGAGCGTCCACACGACTGGAAGCCATAACCGGGCTTTTCTAAAGAGTAAATAGATGCTCTGCCAGCTCCAGAAGTCCCCGTTTCCGTCGGCCGGCGGCCGGCGTTCCTCTGCCTCCGACCTCCAGCCCATCTGGTTTTGCTTTGCTCGGCAAACTGCCGCTGAACTCTGCTCCCCGACCCCCGGCCGGAGCCTCTGCCAATCACGCATTGTTGCATCAGTCAGGGGTCAAAGCGCTCCGCGCCCTTTCGGTTGTCCCGGGTGTCACCGCCGTGCACCCCCCTGACCCCCGCGTGTCGACCAGCCTCCTGCCCGCAAACTCGAACCAGCTTGACAAACATCATCCCGGCAGTTAGTGTCACGGCGGAGCCCAACGCCACGGTTACAGAGCCACCTCTAAAGGATTTAAAGCTTCTGACTCGCAAGCCGCTTTGATTATTACCCGATGGGGCTAAGCAGTTCGGGACTTTCGTGGAGGGGGGGAAAAAAAACAAAAACAACTTCATTTAAAACAATGTTTTTTCTTCTCTGCTGACAGCGAGCTCTGATAATTCTGATTCTCAGCGTTCTGCTTCCAGGTGTGATTGGCGCCGACGTGAGAGGTTTTCAGCTGCCCTGCGAACACCGGCCCATCACTTCACGCATGGCGATGATCTGCGGGACGTCGTCCTGTCACATGGCGGTCAGTGGTCTTGCAAATGACCCGAAACCACATATGTCAAGCTCACACAATGATATACTGGCCCCAAGATAATTGAAAGTGTTTATTAGAAAGGCCTGCTGGTAAAATAGCTGCTCACACTACAAATCCCACCATGCACTGTGACAGCCTCAGTGCTTTTCAAGACTTGTGCGTTAGCCCCGCCTCCTCTGCCGATCTAATCAAATGCTAGACAGGAAATTTTAGTCAGAGACAGGGATAGTTAAATTAAATTAAAATGAAAAGTTGACAAAAATTGGACTTCGAAAACAGGGGCTTTCAGAGCAGGGGTGAGGGGGGCGACGTATTATTTGGTATACAGATCAACTCCGATGGGGATTTGACGCTCTTTGATTCTTGAGAAAAAACGGGTCCCTCCATAAATGAAACTCACTTCTGACAATCGTTCCCATTTTGTTTTGTTTGTTTTCTTTCCCCATTCTAATACGTAGCCCGAATTATTAGTAAGCTCTGTTGAATCCCTCCTTTTCTAATCCCCATCTGACCTCAGATCAGTGAGCAGCCTCTGTTCGTGCCAGGAGTGTGGGGACCCTACCCGTCTGCCATGGTGCCTGGCCTGTGGCTCAACGAGGGGGGGCAGAGCGCCACGGGAAGGCTGGTCAGTCCGGAGATTTTCAAAGGATTTGTTTAGGCCATTTAAAAGGCCATTTAAATGTAGATGTCAAATTTAAATACAGTTTACGTGCAGAAACGTGCTTAAATACATCAGCCTACAGCAAAGCCCCACAGCAATGTGTATTTGCCGTGTGTGGAAACATCTTTATCTGCATGTTTTGTCATGTTTTTACACATTAAAGTTTAGAAAAAACAGAACTCCCTTTTGCAATTTCATTAGGTTAGAGGGGAAATTAAAAATAAAAAAAAAGTTGAACATGAGCTTTGCTGATTCATGCATTACTCAGTCAACTGGAGTGACTGCACCCTTCAAGTCACCGCGCGTGTCACCTTGTCTTTTCTTTTTTTCTTCCCATGTCGCCCACTCCTGGCTCAGATCGAACACGTAGTGAAGGGTCACGCTGCCTTCGCCCGGCTCCAGGAACAGGCCCAGCCGAGGGGCCCCCCCCCCCCCCCCCCCAAAATGACTCAGTCAGGCTGAGGTGTTAGGCTAACTTTCCTCGGAATGGAAGCCCGATAGCATTTTTAGTCAGAGTAACACTTGTTTGTGTCTTAACATTTGAAAAGAATTTCACAGAGAAGCTTTTTTTTTTTTTTTTCATCTCAGAGTTCCCTTTACGGGCGAGAACATCTACAGCTACCTGAACGACCACTTGGCCTCGATGGCGAGCTCTGCCGTCGATCTCCTGGGATCGGGACTTCACGTGTGGCCAGACTTTCACGGGAACAGGTCGCCACTGGCTGACCCCACTTTAAAGGGCATGGTAAGGGTCCGGCCATGACTAAATGCTTCCAAAATTGTCCTTTTTTTTTGTTTTTGAATAGGGAACAGAAAAACAAAATGATATGACACAAAAAAAACACAGTCACCACCGATTCTCAAATAGCCTTTTTATACAAGCCCAGACATGATCCAAAAAAGACCCAACAGGAAGGACAGGAGCCCCATTTTTTCTTTTTTTGTAACATTGACATCTTTACATGGCTCGACAATGACAGATGAGCAAGTTGTGTTGGTAATCCATAAGAAGAGATGAAGCCCAGAGTGAAGCCCAGAGTGAGCATATTTTCTTAGCTGGACTCAGACAACCCTGAGCGGCCTCCCAGGGAGAGCAGTGATTGTAAAAGCAAAGCAGCGGGGGATCCTTCCGTGTTGCACCGCACTACAGCGATAGGTTTTACGGAGCTAGACATGAAAGCAGATGTTTCACCTTCATGCTCTGGCTTCAAAGTGATAGTGTGTCCGGGTTATGATGACCGTCTAGTGCACAGGACTCTGGGTGGAGCGGTGCTTTGCACATGGTGCAGACTACAGTCTAAAGCTACCTAAAGGCTCCCATTACAGGCCATTTAGTAGTCATGCAATACGGCCACTTGTAAAGAGAGGTTGGAAACATTCCAACGCTCAGCCTCTATGTGGACATAAAAGGTAAAGTCCTATAAAACTGACAATACTTTCAGATTCTGTGGTCAAAAACCTATAAGGGAAAAAACTCCATATTTTGTCCAACATGCTCCCAATGAAACGTTATTCGTTTTTATCCTTATTACCGTTTAAGTCGCTTTGGATAGGAGGCACAAACATAAATCTACACATTTTTAAAAGAAGGGGGGGAAAAACGCACATTTTATTGTGCAACTTGTAATTCTCCAGCTTGTTTATGTGGAAACGAGGTCTAAGATTGACCGTGTGATTGGATGACCATCACGCATCAGTAATGTAGCCGTAAAAAAAGAAACTGTTCGGATAAGTCATGTGGACCCAGATCGACCTTTAAAGTCAGGCGTACTTGTGAGTCACAATTTTGGACATAAATAGATACTGTACGTCTGAAATGCGACTACTTTCTCCCGTAAAACAAGACAAACAAACAAACAAAAGAGTCTTATGGTTAGGGTTCATGGCCAAACTACTATTAATGCTCTGTTAACTGTTCTACAGGTGATTGGACTGACTCTATCACAGACCTTGGATGACTTGGCTCTGCTCTATTTAGCCACCATTCAAGCCCTCGCTGTAAGTCCAAGGCCTTTTTTTGTGTCTGCGCAAATACGCCGGGGAAGGGTTGTTAGAGCTCCTTTGCCTGGTTTTCTCGTTTCAGATGGGTACGCTCCACATTCTGGAGGCCATGAAAGAAGCAGGCCATGACATCAGAACCCTCTTCCTGTGTGGAGGGTTAAGCAAAAACCCCCTGTTTGTGCAGATCCACGCTAACGCCACAGGTAGGCTCGGACCTCGGAGTTTGCAACACTTTTTCATATTTCAGTGTCATTTTTCATGTTTCGTTTTTCACGATTCACTGTCATTTCATCATCTGAAAAGGTCCTTCTTTAGCCAGAGAGCAAAACCATGAGATAGAGATCTGCCATTAGACCTGCTGTACAGAACATTTCCATCATTCTCAATTAGAAAAAGTTTGGAACAAACCAAAGCATCCTCTATTTATTCCTGATTGATATTAAAGGGCTTTGGTCAGGCAGAGAAATGAGACTTACTGAGCATAATCAATCACCATGCTATGGTGAGTTAATTTGGACTGATATAGCAATCATCGAGCTTTTGTGCCAATGGGCCATAAAGAGGGAAATCCTTCAATTAGATGAAACAAAGAACTACCATGTTACTTTTACCAATATGAAGCAAATTTACGGGATGCTTGTAAAGATTACTTTTAAAATCCATGCAAACATTTCCATCCAAGAAAATTTGTTCAATTTCCAGACTGCCGCTCTGCTCTAATAAAATCCATATTTAACTTTTTTTTTTATTATAACCGCACTGACAAAAGTCATCATTTAACTAACATAAATACAACAACTTGTACTATGAATTCAGTTACGGTTACAAAGAAGACGAGCTCCTGAAAAGGAGTTTCGAGGCCGCCGCAGAATATCTCCAACAGTCCACAGAATGGTAACCTCATTAACACGAGCCCCCTCTTTTTTATTTCTACTTGGAAAACAGACAGAAAACTATAATTCAACCACTGACCGTCACTTTTTACCATGGTGCAGAGTCAATTGCGATGATTCTTAGCCAGTACAAGAGATAACTCCAGTGTTACCTTCTCACTCTCAGGACTGCCCGTGGTGTTGCCGGATCAGATGGAGGCTGTTTTAGTGGGAGCAGCGGTTCTGGGAGCATGTGCATCACGGGACTACAACAACATACAGGTGCAGCATCACGCTTAGATTTTCCTTGATATTTGGCTCTAATTTTTAGCTCAATTGGTTAAAAATGTAAAAATAAGTTTTCTTAATTTACGTCCAGCAGCGGAAGAGTCGCGTCATGTTTATAGAGCTGTGCTTATGGTTCAAATGAATACATTTTATGTGAGAATGGTTGGAGTTCTTTTTTAAAAAACATATTGAAACTTAAATTCTGCAGTCCAAGAGTTGGAAGGCGTGAGAAATATGGAGGAATGAAACAAACAGAATTAAGAATAAAGGCAAACATACGTGAACGTCTCAATGAATTAATCAATATGTAAAAAATGCAATTACATGATCAAATATATAAAATTCAGATTTTTACTCTAATTTACACCTATAATTGTACACCATCGTTGTAAAATGGTGATTTATTTAATTTATTTCTGTCTTTATTTTATTAGACATGTATTTATTACTATTGTATAACCAATCACAATTTCTTCCTCTATTGATTTCTGACTAACCAATAATTTAAGCAAGTTATTTTACCTATGCATTTCAACCACATTACACAGATGAGGATGTCCTTAAAGAAGGTCAGCCTCCCACCTATTGGTTAGTCCGTAGGAAATAAAAAAATCGGTTGGTTCCAGTCAAATAGAAAGAAATTGCTTAAGTGAATAGCGACAGAAAAGGTTCAGTGAAAATGTAACGTTAACAAATAACACTTAGATTATAAAGGATGTGGTAAAGGAAATAAATCAGCTTTTTAAAATATAATTGTTGGTGGAAATTGGAGCAAGAAACAATAAGCATCCTGTTCCGTTTGTCATGACATTTTTTAATTTTTAAGATTTTGATTTGTCTACTGAGGCATTGTCATATTGATGCTCTCCTTTTTGATTCTGGCAGTTTGTTAAATGAGACAATGGAATCAAAAGCGTACAGCATCTCTGATTCTGTACCACCGCCTGCTGGCCGGAAACGGAAAACACTTAGAAAGAAGCCTGCATCTCAGCTGGGTTTTGCGGCTCCCTTTTTATGATGGGAAGCGCTGACTAATCGTTTATCAGGTCCAGCGTCCCGGCACCAGAACACCGAGCAGCCTTTTTTTTTAAGCCTCCATTCTAAAAATATTTCGCCTTTCTTCTAACAAGGCCGCACCTGTCGGCGGCTTCTGGTCCATAAATACAGCGGACAGTTGTTGCCCCTGATCCTGTAAGCCTCACGCGCTCAGCCAGCAGGATTTTGTAGGTTTAGGGAGCAGAGAGGCCCCGCCATTCATTAAACATGAACCCTGGCTCGACAAAGGCCCCCGCTTACGTCGGTGCCTCGGAAGTAGGTCACGGCTGATGTGAAATCAAAACGCGCGTGTCGCATGATTTATTGAGCGGCGTTTGTCTCTGCGCTCGCACGTTGCAGGAGGCCATGGAGAAGATGGCCAAAGTGGGACGAGTTGTCCAGCCTCACCAAGAACTGGACAGGTGAGGCACACCGATGCTCCTCCTGCAAACCGATCAGTTTTCATCCCCCCTCCCCGCCCCTTTTTGTTTACTTTTGATCTGTAAGCAGTGTATCTGATTGAGCTTATTCATTTTCTGGTAAAAACAGTCTTTTAATGTGGCATAAAAAGCGACACTTTAAAATTAAGTATCATTTAAACTCAAGAGAAGAATGCAGAATCTTTTTATTCTCAGTTTCATAATCAGTTTTATTACAGCATTTTGACTTTTTTTTCCCCCCACCCTGTATTTTAACTCCCTTTTTCAGCTTCTACGAAAGAAAGTACAAGGTGTTCCAGCAGATGTTCTCCCACCAGAGGGAGTACCAGGCCCTCATGAGCCAAAGATGAACCAGAGGTGGCGGGAGGGAGGCTGAGCCGGAGCTGTTCTGCGATGCGACAGGACTGATGAGTCTGCTATACAAAAACTAGAGCAAGCTCGAAACCCCAACTTTTGTTTAGGTCTTAAAACCACCAGACAAATAAGGTCAGATAAGACCTGAAGTAATGCAGCCTTCGGGGCCCCTCGATTTCGAGATTGTCCCTCCGCGTAGGACCTCCTATCTGGGACATCAGCTTCTGGCACGCAAGAGGCCGCTTAGCTCCCGCCAGAGTCGGGTATCGTCAGCATCGTGAGCATTCCGAATAAATAACCACTGTCTTAACTGTTTTATGTCCCTTTCGTCACTCTGTTCCGGCGTGTGGAAACCGATCCAGAGTGCTCCACCTCACTCAGCGCTCTCCTGGCTACTGGCTGCCAGCATTCCCAAGATCAAAGCTGATAAGCTCTTCAATGCCACCGTCGAGCAACCTGGTTTGGAGGGGGGGGGTGAGGGCGGACCGGAAAATCCAACACAGCTGACTTAATGCTTCAAACAGATCTAACTTATGGAGGTTAACAAACCCGCACGGGGCAACACGAGCAGTGGTGGTTTGAAAGTCACCCAAACGTCCGGTTTTAATGACCTAGCTACGCAATAGATGGAGATATGGAAACAGTTTGAAAGTCGAAAGCCGGTATTCATCTTAGTCACATTCTAAACCCTCTTAGATGAGCTCTCTCACATTTGCTTAAATGGTGTCGAGGTACAGCTCCAAGCTCTTTTTTGGATGTTGGTAGCCTTTTTTTTTCCTCTTCTCTTTCAAGATGATCCCACTCTGCTCCAGTAATGTGGCGAGCTGTGCTTCTGGGGAGGATTCATCCTCCTATTCCAGTCATGTTGCCCTGCTTCAAGACTGGCTACTTGATAACTACTTCTTGGAGAGCACTCTTCAGTGAACAGTGGGTGGAAGTTTGCTGGCATTTGCTGGCTTTCTTTCTTCTTTCTCAAAGGTGCATGTTTCAATTATAGCTGTGGTAGCTATTCTGCTTTTTTTAGGCCTTACACCTGTGCTTTTAGCCCCACCTAAGTTATAGGGAAGCGCAAAACACCAGGCTGGTATGTGAAGTTTTTTACTGTTGATGCCAAAAAATACAGTTTTAGGTCCATTCATCGGTGTAAACCTAAAAATATATATATATTATTGCAAAAAAAAATGGGAGCAAACAATTTTTTTCTGAGATAATAGCAAACTCCTACAGCTAATTTTCAAACTGGGCTCTTTGATAAATTGTCTATCATAAATAAGTACAATAGACTTTTGCTTTAGAGATTCACAGTTGAGTGTTAACATGCCCAAGATAAAAAAAAAAAAAAGAAAACCAGCACATTCCTATATAAATGGTCGGATAAAGGGAGTAAAAATGAAAGGAGCAGCCAATGTTAACTCCGTAATGTCATGCATTTATTATTCCCGACAAAGACGATGGATACATGAGTGCTTCCATGAAAGTGCCTACCCAGGCAATAATTTATCACTTAACATGCTAGAGTTGACTATTTTACTCGCTGTAACCCTTTCTAACAAGGTAATGTAGGAGTCGGTTAATCAGATAAAACAGTAAAGCAGACAATGCAAACTCTATTTGCTCCCGTGGAATGAACTGCAACATAAAGCCTCGACTGTCACACTGAAAAGAGGAAGTGAGTGATGGGTAAACGATATGAAGCAAAATCCCCAACCCTGCTGGTGAAATGCCAGGTGGGCAAGTGTTACTTTTTTGTGTTAAAACGAACAAACTAGCATCCTTCGCCCGTTGTTTTCTTTGAGGCGAGGCTCGGGAATCATTTGATGTTGGCGAGGCTGATTTTACTGTATATGCAGTCTCCCTGCGCTCCCACGGGGGGCGTGTAGCGCAGGTACTTTTTTCCGGAGGGCAGGTCTTTGCTGTAGACGCCAGCCGGGAAACGAGACGCAGCCTCCTCCTCAGACAAACTTGGAGGCACCATCACACAGTCTCCAGGCTGGACAGAGACACAACACGGTGAGATCACTCTTTTTTTGGGCCAGAATATGGGATCGTTTTGTTTCTCCCTGTGCATCCAGCTGCTGAAACACCTGCCGGACACCTACCTTCCAGTCGGCCGGCGTGGCCACTCGCCAATCGGCTGTGAGCTGGAGGGAGTCGACCACTCGTAGGATTTCGTCGAAATTGCGTCCGGTGGTGGCCGGGTAGAGCAGAGACAGTTTCAGCCTCTTGTCAGGACCGATGATAAACACCTGAGCAAGAATCGGAATGGTGGAATATCCCATAAAAGTTGAAAGGGAGAAACTTCAGGTCCCGTTTGTTCTCTGATACTCACGCAGCGGGCAGTGAGGGGCATGCCGTCTTTGTCCTTCTCCACAGGGTCCAGCATGCCCAGGGCCACTGCCAGCTCCCGTTTGCTGTCCGCTATGATGGGGAAGGGCAGCGAGCGGCTGGCCGAGTCCTCGCAGTTGTAAGCCAGGATGTCCTGGTAGGAAAGGAGAAGAGACGCGAGTCCTCAGTGGCTATTCAAACTTAGCTGCTGCCACAGAGATTGTGCGACTGTGGAAAAGAATTCAATTCTAGGGTAAGAAAACCAAAACGTAATAAATGATTCCTTGGTCCTCAGCAGGGTTTTGACAGAATTTCAACAAAACCTACAATAAACTCGGCATATCACACATAATTTATTTAAGGAGAAATTAAACCAAAGTGCTGGAGTGGCATGCAGAAACACGAGCTCACTCTTAAGTATTTCATTGACAACTGGTCATCATCAGCTGTGGGCTTCTCCACAAAGCCAGACACTTTGACAGTTTGCCTTCCTGGAGCTCTCAGGTGCGCGACGACAAAGAGGAAAGACATCAGCCACGATCTTGGAAAGAACGAATCTGCCGCGTAGCAGTTTACGAAGGGTCATGGGGCCAATTCCAAACGATCTGGAGTCCATGATTTTACAAAGAAAATGTTATTAGTAGGTGGGAAACATAGATCTACCCATCCATGGTCTGTACCCCATTTTCACCAAGAGAGTTTTCACTCTTCCTTAGAGTGGACGTCCCAGAAAGGTCAACCCGACTACAAACTGTAGAGTGACCAGAGAAACCCTCCCTATAGACCCTCAGTTGTATGTTTAAGTGTATGACGGCACAATCAGAAGGAAGACTGAACATGTATGGCTTGTTTGGAACGGTTACAGGAGAAGGCCTTCTTGTCTCATAAACAAACAAACAAACATGGCAGCACAGCTCAGCTTTGTAAAGTTACAACTGCACAAACCGCAACACATCTGAAACAATATGCCTCTTACAGATGGAAACAAAGTGGAGAAGTTCGGTATGAACGTTCAGCAGCTTGTTCGGAGGAAACGGGTGCCCCATACCATAGAAAACGATTACTACCAATCCTTGTAGACTAATGTTGCCCCACAAGCGTTGGAATCATGGAGTGTGCACACATTTCGCACGCTGAGGCGTTTTTGTTTTTGTTTTGATTAATAAATTAAGACTTGCACTTGGATAATGCACTGGGAAAAAGCAAAGCGGGGAACCTGTCACAGCACCTTGCTCCAGCTATGGTGATCTTCCAGACAGTCGATGGACAGGGCGATCATTTTGACGTTGCGCTTCTTGAACTCGCCGCACATTCTGGCGGCCCGGCCCAGCTCTGTGGTGCACACGGGAGTGTAGTCTCTGGGGTGGGAGAACAGTATGCCCCATCTGGAAAAAAAAATAATTGAAAAAAGGACACGCTTTGAGAGATTTGATCAAAATGTTGACTCCGTATCGAGCACTTTTCGATCCTGACTGTTGCCGGAGTCCTGTTTCGCATCCTGTTGCGAAACAGGATGACCAATGGAGTGGCCATATGTCATCTGACAACAACAAACAGCCATTTGAGGAAAGGTTTTTTTTTTTTCATGATGTCAGCCGTGCCAGTTCTTGCCCCCGTCACTTTCAAATTTGACATTTGAAAGCTTTCAGATGGCCTTACCGATAGCACGAACCTCATTTCCTGGAAAGCCGGACCAAAAAAACGCAACATAAACACAAACCTGTAATGATTCAGCTTATTTTAGTCTTTGTCATAAACACACAAGACGCGTACAAATGCGGCCTTACGCATGCATTGTACATACACAGAAACAAGAAGAGATGAACATGAATTAGAGCGGTCAGTGGTCAAACTGGGCCGCTCAACCACTGCACAACATATCTGATGGTCTCAACCAGATTAACAAAGCAAGAAGTCCAAGGGATTTGACACAAATCACTTGTTAACTGAAAACCATGGCTGAATTCCGAAAGTGTGCAAAGCTGTCAACAAAGCAGAAAGTGGCTTCTTTGAGGGATCTTGAAATATAAAAACAGGTTTGGTTTTATACACCATATAATTCCATTATAGTTTGACTTCTGTCTAGAATACAGAAAATTCAAATGGTAAAGAAATACATGGAGTGATGGATCCAAACTTTTGAATCGTGCGTATTTAACAAATTGTTGTTTGCACTTCCCATATTTTGCACTCCACCTGGGAATTCCGTAACAAGCAGGAAGTAATTTGCCAGTGAAAACAAAATGGATAGACAATTTATTTATAACTGTGTTTGAAGAACCTGTACAGGTTCAGATAAAATACTTTTTGTTGTTGCATTGAAGAAAAGCACACAGGTTTTCCTGGAAATTAGGGGGTTTAAGCAGTATCAAATAGACTGAATTGTTGTTTTGTTCCTCCACTAGGTGTACATTTTTCCCTCACTTTGCGTTTAAAAGTAATTTTTCAAACACTTAAACACCCGGAGGCCATAATTTTGCCGATCCAGGAGGGTATTCATATGATCTGTAAACTGTATCCAAAGCAGAAGTTAGAAAAACGGTCAACAGGAACTGTTCACACACTGCAACCTACCTCCTTCCTCCTCATGATGAACAGAATTCTTACTAATCTGCTCATAGAATGAGCAGGCTCACTTACGATTCGCCCAGAAACTCGTGGAGTTTAATTCTCCCAGCCGTGGTGTCTGCCTCGAAATTGGGAAAGACTTCTCCGAGCAGCAGTCCCGGCATGGTGTTGGCCGCCCGCGGGGTGCGATGGCGCGTCGAGCTGCGGCTCAGATGAGTGACGGGGTGGAAATGGAGGCGGAAACGTCCCTGCGAACACAGACCTGTGAGAGAATCCCCGGTGGAGGGCGGTGGGGGCGCGCTCAGGGCGCGATCTGGGCGCGTTGCGCAGACGCCAGTGGTCCCTCAAACTCTCCTTTACATCCCCAGTGAACTCCGGGAAAGAAATTGAAGCATTCCACAACAGGCTGTGTGAGGTGATGGTGCTTTTAGTTCCACTTAATCCACGTTTGATGAAGACAGGGAGAAAGGTCGACATTTCAGCCTAAGCCTTTGGCCAGTGAACCGGAGAAGTAATATATCTATATTTTTTTATTATTTGATTTAAAAAATCCAGTAGAAGTCATCATCTGTATAAGAATAACTTTGCCTAGTAACTTTGTCACGTGACAAGAGCAGCCCAGTTCTAAACCGGTAACGTTTTAGGCCCCTCTGGAGGATGATTTGCCTCTGAGCGCGGTGGGATCGAGGAGGGTCACAGGAGAAAGGCAGATCCAACAGCTTTCCTCAGACCAAACCAAAAAGAAAAGAATGTCCTCGCCGATGACCAGACGGAATAGCTGCCGTGGACCGGCTTGCGGAAGCCGGACGCCCCCCGAGTGCCCCCCGCGCCGGCGGGGCTCCAGCTGCGCGTACCCGTTCCCCGGAACGCAGGCAGAGGAGCTATCCGCCAGCCTGAGCCAGCCCATGCTAGCCGTAACGCTGCGCTTCCTGCTGGCGGTGGACCTGTGGCTGTCCAAGCGGCTCGGGGTGTGCGCCCGCGAGGGCTCCGCGTGGGGCAGCCTCCGGCCCCTGGTGCGCCTGCTGGAGCTCTCCGGGCACGTCGTCCCCTGGATCGTCGGCGCCGTGTACACTCTGGTGCGCGTGGAGAGCGAGGCCGAGCGGGAAGTCATGCTGAATTTATTCCTGGGTGGGTGAAGTTTGAATTTAAATAAATCAGGAATCGGTTCTCTCGCCTTCCATGAAAAGGCAGCATCTCAATGTTGCCAACGTTTTAATAACGTTGGCAACATTGATTATAATGCTAAATGAATTTAAATTTGGTATGTAGATGGTTTACAGCCTGTTATTTTGTGAATGTTGTCCGCGCGTTCTGGTAATTATCGCCACTTTGGAAAATGCTGCGCAATTACGCACAGCAGCGCCAGCATTTACGGGAGGCTTTTGGCAGAAAGCAGTGCGCGCCGGGAATGTAATGTCCAGGCTGAATGAAATAGTGGAACACACCAAAGCCATCAGTGCAGCCAGGGCCAGGGACGGAGAGCAGTAGAAATAACACAATCAATTCCGACCTTTAGAGTAAACTCTTAACTGAATCCATCCACGTATTTCGGATTGCAACGCAGTTCGGCGCATGGAACTCATTGAGGAGCTACTTAACTTCAGTATCCTGGAGCTAAAACTGGATTTTTAACATTCACACATCGAACCACGAAATCTGATTCGAAACACGAACTCTAAATCGAGAAAATAAAAATGAATAACCCTGAAAATCAACTTCTGTTGATCCAGCGTTGGATTCCCACTCTAGAGATTTGCTGTGGGGATGTTATTTGCCCGTGAATATTAGAGTTTCTTTGATTTGTGGCTTTGAACTCATGTGATGTGCTTTGGTTCTGTATTGTGGTGTAGTGGCATACCAGAGCTATTTTTGACACATAATGGCTTATTTGGGATGACTCTGTGTTCTGGAAACGCTCTTACTGTAGACTTATGTAAAACTTTGTCAGGTCAGAGATAGATTAAAATTGTGTTTCATCAGAAAATAACTTTTTTTTTACCAGGAAAATATACCATATAGTGTTATATGCAGGAGCTATATGGGATTATCATGAGCAAAACAAATAACCAATTTACACAGTTATCTCATTTTCCGTCACCATTTGAAGAAATTCTGAGGCCCTTGATATATTTGGTTTGGGTCAGCATGATCCCAGTAACATAAAATGGAGTTCCTATGTATCAGGCATGGCATTTAATGTTAGCCCATTCTAAAAATATTTAGCTGGAGCAACACAGCTTCAACCAAATTCCAGAATTTACCACCGTTTCTGCAAAGAAAAAAGAAAAAATTCACTTCCAAAGCTTATCAACAAAACCATTCCGTTGTGTGAGCTGTGTTGCTTTTCGAATGGTTTGACCTGAGACCGAAACTTAAGCCGGTGTCGTGTGTGGTTTTTCTCCCCAAAGCTCTGATTCTGGACCTGCTGCTGGTCAGGGCCGTGAAGGCCGTGGTCCGCCGGCGGAGGCCTGCCCAGAACCGCTCGGACATCCTCTCGGCCTTCTTCGTGGAGCGCTACTCCTTCCCCTCGGGCCACGCGTCGCGGGCGGCCATGTGCGCCCGCTTCTTCCTGGCCCAGCTGGCCGACACGGCCTCCATGCGGGTCCTGGTGGTGGGCTGGGCCGCCCTGGCCAGCCTGTCCCGGCTGCTGCTGGCCAGGCACTACGTGACGGACGTGGGCTTCGGGCTGGCCATGGGCTACTGCCAGTACAGCTTGGTGGAGAAGCTGTGGGTGACTTGGGACTGCCTGCAGGACCTCCTGCTCATACGGCTGAGAGAGAGCCTGGACAGGGCTTACAGCGGACTCTGGACGGTTGACTGGAAATATTAGGTCAAGCTAAGGTGTGTGTGTGTGTGTGTTTCTGTGGCAACTTCTGTGTGGGGAAACTGCGTAGCATGAGTGTGTGTGATTCAGAAAACCCCTGCTCTACTTTATTTATTATCTGATTAAAGTCACTCGCTCTGCTCCTGTTTTGTGTATCGCTATCAGTTTCCGTGAATCTCTTTTGTCGTTTAAGATAAAAACCCAGATGAGACCATAAGAGGGGCGCAAAGCGTTTTCTGGCCTCTGTGGTGGTTTGAAATGGAGCTGTCAAAAAGCGCGGCCGGCACTATAAATGTGCAAACCCCGTCGGGGGGGGGGGAAAGTCAACACACGCGCACCCAAGTTTCCACCAGCTGTTGCCGAGTCCTCTGACTGTCATTACACCGTTATACATGTCCTCTCGTCTTACAGTGTTGACAAACCGGGCTGCCATCACCTCCTTTCTCAACATACCGACTAAAGCTTCAAACTCGATCGCACAATTTAAGGCCACACGATTTGATTTGTTTAGTTTTTTCGCCAGGGGAGAAAAGAGCAAGCAACCCTTAGCACAGCCGAAACTTCGAGTCCAGACAGAAATACATAGAAAATGCACGAGTGACCACGTGTCCCTAGAGGGCAGTGCGTGATTGCGATTGCAACGTGCTGGCAGGCGACAATGTGTTGCTTCTGCAGGGTTTTGGGGTGTCGGTAGGTTAACTTTTGTCCGATCTGATCTGTTGATCCCGGTCAGCATGTACGACAGGTTTTCAGAAAGAAATATATGGATATTTGAGTGAACTTAGATGTATGAGCCCTCATAATTTCATTGAACTGCACAGAGGAGGATGCCATAAAACTAATTGGACTCTGGCCCTTTTTCCTGATCTCCCCCTAGCGTGTCATTGACCCATTTATTCTTTAAGGTTTGTTGATAACTGTCTATGGCAGACATGTACAATAGTACCCTATTGTTCACTATGTACAATAGTGGTTATCCTTCATTCTTTAGATTCTAGCTTTAATGAATTGGGATGTTTCACTTAGGATTTCTTCAAGGGCTTTGTCAAGAGCAGCCCACCACAAAGACAGAGCCTGTGATCCAGTTGTAAAAAGTTGTGAAAAATGGCAAGAAAACGCAGTTTGACATGTCACAGATACTGTCAGAGAGCCGTTTGCTGAAAACTTTGCATATCTTGGCACGGGGTGCAGTGCACGCTTTAAAAGACAGAGGAAACTAAAACAGATGCTCATTGTGATTTTTAGAAAGGTGGAACTGCATCACACCTGCATCCGAGCTCTTGTACTCTAGGTGTTGTTTAGAAAAAAAGAAAAAAAAACCCACCTTTAAGGTATTTGCAAGAGATAATCCTTATATTTAAGATCACTGGTTTCTAAGGGGCTTGGTGACTGTGTGAGCCCAACAGATCAAGTTTGGTCACTGGTGATTCTATTCCAAGATCTGTAATTAAAACCTGTATTAAATTATACTAAAATCTGTTAGTTGTTATTTTTCCTTGATGAGGCAAAAAAAGAAAGTTATTCCTTACTTAGCATGTTGAACAGCCCCCTCTATTGGAGGTGTATTGAACAGACTTTTTGAAGAGATGTTTTCTCTTCAACTAAATATGAGCATACTAATTCAGTGCCGTCTTTTCCAAAATGTATTTATGATTAGCAGGTAGATTTAAATGGGTGTAAATTTGCATTTAACCCTTTAAAGCCTGATCCAAGAAAAAATAGAGAGAACTATCCTTTTTTTTTTGTTTGAAGTAATTATTTGGCCCTTTAACAAAATACCAAAAAACAAAAAAATTCTTAAGTATTCATAATTTATTTCCATGCAATAAGTCAAAATTATTGTCATCTTATCTTCTTTATCAGTTATCAGGTAAATCTGATTGTGGGCAACAGGGGTTTTAGTAACGTTTTCACCATCAAATGATGCAAAAGGTTTAAGATGCAAAACATTTCAGAAACTGTATTTATCCAATATGATACCTATGGCATCACAGGGTTAAATGGAGAAATATCTTATTTACACCTGTTCTTGAGAACATTTGTCTGATCTAATCATTGCTCAGCCAGAAAAGTCCCTTTATTTGCAGCCCGCTCTCTGCTGGTCATTGTGAAATAGGATTCGTCCAAACTTCCTTTGCAGCATCAGTTCAGGCAAAAGCTGCCTTTTAGTCTTCAAGCGTGAAACAACCTGCGCTTTTTATGCCCTTTTGTGACCAGACACTCTGCTACTTTTAGCCAGATGCAAAGATGTCAGCCTGCGCAATCCAAGATTTCCATTACCAAACGTTCTTCCAAAAGGTCTCTCTGTCCATGCTGAGAAGCAGAGCTTTTCAGAACATGGTGCCTTTTTGCTGACCTCACAGCCTGCATGTGTGAAGAAGTAAAGAAAATCCACGGACACCCTCTCAGAAAGCACATTGTGAGTATATTGGAGTGGATGCACAAAAGGGAGGTGAGTTATTCCTGGAGTTTGTTTCTTGGACGCTGTCACTTTATCTGTGAGTGTAAAAAGTTAAATGATTTAGCTGGTATTCCTTCTGTAGACCCGATTCTTTAGTTGGAAACCTGAGAATAAACCAGAGTGGATCAAAAGTATGAAAAAATGACATTTATTTGGTCACAGGCAAAGTATATCAGCGCTCTTCACAGACAAAAACCTCTCGACTGGACACTGCTTATTGGCCAGTTACTTACTACCCCTAACCCTGACATGAACTGACCAGGTCGTAGTTAATGCAGATAAGATTGAAATGTGGTAACAATGGTGAGTGTTGGTGTTGACCTGATGGAATGTGATAACAAATGGTGTGGATCTATTGCAATCAGAGAAAGAAAACAGCGTCTTTGGACACAACCAGAAACTTTAACACAAAGTCAAGGTTCTATAAGGAATACAACAATCAGTAATTTACATAGATCATATTATAGCATACTATGCTAAAGTGAGTAATTATAACCAAATTCTAACACTTCCCTTCTTAAGTGTGACCAGGAGCACTTTGTCAAAATCAGACAAGCTAACAAAGATTATCCATCTTTAATCGACAGGATACAAAAATAAGTCGCCATCCATATCATTAAAACTATCAATCACTCATGAACCTATGAGCACGTCTTGTTCATAATATTTTTTTTTTTTAAAAAGTAGTTGACAGCTTAAGTAAAGAAGAAATAGATATGAAGTATCAAAAATGTTTGGTTTCGGTTCAGTCCAGTCCCCCTCTGAGTCCCCCTCAGCTGCTCAGCGTGACGTCGTAGGTGACCATGTGGAAGTTGTCCCACGCGTACAGCTTCCTCCGGGCGTGGTTGTAGTCCACCATGCTGTTGTAGCCGTACTTGTTGGCGAAGGGCACGGCGGCGGTCCGCCCGGCGCCCGAGGCCGTGTCGAACACGTAGTTGAGGGTGGTGTTGGGGGCGGTGTAGCTGGCCAGCGTGTACAGGCGCCCGCACAGCATGAAGGCGTTGGCCACCGCGCTCTTCCTCACGCCCGTCTCCCAGCTGCGCCTCACTTCCAGGCTCTCCGGGTCCAGCCGGGAGATCACGATGGCGCCCTTGGCCTCCGCGGTGCTGTAGATGGCCCACAGGCCCCGCTCGTCGGCCGCCAGGTCGATGTCCGTGTACCCCCCCCAGGAGTAGGGGTGCTGGCCGTGGAAGCCGGCGCCGGGCAGGTCCCGCCGCGCCGCCAGGCTCTCGGCGGCCAGCCGGTAGCGGATGAGGGTGCGGCTGCGCCGGCGCTGGTAGTAGAGCGAGCCCCGGTACAGCGCGGCCCCCGTGCTCTCCAGGGGCTCCGGCAGGAGCAGCACCTTCATGGGGAACCCCCTGGAGAACTGGTCCAGGTCTTCGTACGCGAAGAGCCGACGCAGGTCCGACCCCACCGCGTCGATGCGCCACACGGTCTGGTTGGTGTAGAGGGGCACCGGGCTCTCCGGGGCGTCCGGGGCCTCCGGGGGCTCAGGGTCCTGCAGCCAGACGCCGTACTTCCCCGTGATGCCGTCGGCCGTCCTGTGCAGCTCAGGCTCCCCCACCGCCAGCAGCTCCCCGCAGCCTGAGGAGAAGCAGCAAGTTCAGATCCCATTCCCATTCCCAGTCCCATTCCCATTCCCACTCCCACTCCCACTCCCACTGCCTTGGAAAAGCTGCTTTACCACCAACTCGGTTCCAGCCGCTACCTGAGAGACTGCGGTTTCCCTCGGGAATGAAGTGGGAGGCAGCAACTTCGGTCACCTCGGCCTTCATCTCTTGATAAGTGCCATTGTCGAAAGCATCTGCAAGGTTTTGGTAAAGTAGGAGACAGAAATAGATTAACAGTTGTGTGTGTGTGTGTGTGTAGAATGTATATTTCTACACCCATCCATCCATTATCGTTACCGAACTGGAGCCTATCCCAGTGTGGTCAATGGGCGAGAGGCGGGGTACACCCTGGACGGTCCGCCAGTCGTTCACAGGGCCGCACAGAGACAATCAAGGACCAACAACCACGGACACGGACATTCACTCCTAAGGGCAATTTGGAATGTCCAATCCGCCTAACATGCAGGATTTTGGACGGCGGGAGGAAGCCGGAGAACCCACGCAGACACATTTCTACACACAGAGACACACAAGGACCAACAACCACGCACACTCACAATCACTCCGAAGGGCAATTTGGTATGTCCAATCAAGCTAACATGCAGGTTTGTGGACTGTGGGGAGAAGTCGGAGAACCCGGAGAGAACCCACGCAGACACATTTCTACACGAGGAATTGAAATCAAAGCTTTGTTTTGCATTTTGAAATCAGAGAGCACGATGAAAGACACGTCTGGGTAATAAATTCCTGCCCTCCCCCCCTCCCTTACTCAGACCAGGACAGAAAACTCCATCCTGACCTGTTGCCTTTTAGGACTCTGCTGCCTCAGAAAGCCCCAAAAACATCAAAGTCCAGCCCTTTCATTACAGACCCAGAGAGCAAAAGGAGGGGCTTTAAAAAAAACACCAAAACATTTGTTTCCTTTTACCATCTTAAAAGACAAGCAAAAGCATTTCTCAGTGTTCGGAACAGCTCTTTTTGTCACGTAATTGAAGAGTTTCTGCTCCGGTGTGTGCCTACCAGCAGCAGGTGTGTTTTCCTGACCGGTGGGCCCCGAGGTGTCGTTCTGCCGGCAGGCCCCCCCCCGCCTCAGGCCCTCCGCCTCCCGGCTCAGCTCGGCCACGGTGTCGCGCAGCTCCCCGAGCCGCCTGGTCAGCGTCTCCTTCTCCCCCAGCAGCCGGTCCCTCTCCCGAACCGCCCGGGAGTAAGCGTCCGGGAGGCTCACCCCTCCGGGGCCCAGCAGGGCCTCCAGGAGCGTGAGGCGGGCCAGGACCCCGTCGGTCTGCGGCTGGCCGCCGGGCCCGGAGCAGCCGGACTGCTCCGGACCGGCCGCGGTGAAGGTGTAGAGGCAGCGTCCGGCGGCGTCCACGGAGCGATCCAATGAGGCGAGCTCCTGGGCCCGGCCGTGTGGGAGCAGGGTCAAAAAGGCCAAACAGAGGAAAGAAACCTGGAGCCACATTTTAGAAGGCCAGGTAGAGGCTAAGTCCCTAATTCTTTTGAGAAAGCAAGACCCCTTTTATTGTTTTTCTTATAGATTTGTTTTTTTCCCCCTTGTATCTACACACCTGAGCCGTTCTGGTCTGAGCAGAATGTATCCCGGCAAAGCCCTTTGTAAGATATTTATACAGGTTACCGACAAAGAGTGGGAGGGATCGGGAAGAGTGGAGGGTTGTAAAACAGCCGGGGGGGAGTGTAGTGTTTGTGCAAGGATCCACGTGCTTCTTCTTTTTATTGTCGGAGTGGAGGGAGATGTACCGAGAGGGACAGACAAGATGCAGACCACAAAGTACCTGTGGAAAAAGCACAAACAGCCACAAACCGACTCACACATACGCACACACACACACCGGCGCACACTTGTTGTCTCCAGTGAATTCCTCCATTGTCTCCCTGCCGTCAGGGCGTCCCTTCGGGCTGTTTTGGTCCGGACAGCGTCTCTTTATGGGTCTAACAGCTGTCGGATGCGGGCTCTGTCTGCTTCCTGATGGCTCCCCCATTAAACCGCCGCGCGTCTAACCGCCGTCCCGAGTTTACGGCCCGCGCGCCGGATGGCACGGGAGGCCTCGAGGTAGGGAAATCGTCAACATCAAGGCCGGGCCGCGGCCTCAGCCAACCTGAGAGCACGCTGGCACCCCCCGTGCCACATCCCAGCCGGGCAGGATGTCTGGAACAAGGAGGCGGTCTGGCCCGGTGTGCCTTAATGGCAGGCCTAAACGATAAAATACTTGTTTTCACCAAGCAAAACCTGTCCCAAACTGCCAAAACTAGCTGTAAATTTCTCCTTCAAGAAATCCCAGTTCTTCCGAGAGCATCTCTCGTCCTGAAAGCTTCTAACCCTATAATGCCAAATCATATTTGATACGTACAGTTTCTGAAGTTTGGATCTCAGACTTTTTGCATCATTCAATGGTAAAAGCTTTGCTCAAACCCCTGTTGTACACATTCAGATATACCGGATAACAGCAAGTAGAAGACTACACGAAAATATATTTTTGACTTATTGCACGCTAATTTGATCAAAATAATGTCTGTTTTTTTTTTCCATATGTTGTTTAGGGGCCAAAGAAAGACTTCAGACTAAAAAATCCAATATTCTTCCAATTTTTCTTAGATTGGGATTTAAAGGGCTAAATGCACCTATTTCCCCATAGCATATAGCTCTCAATGAATGCTACTTGTGTAATCTATGTCATAGTTGACTTTTAAATCCTTAATGTTGAATCCTCTCCTAGCATATTGCACTCAAGGTAGAATTAGTGTGTAACTGGTGCTGTAGTTGAATGTTAAACCCTCTTTTTGTATCTCGTTTTGGATAAAAGCGTCTGCTAAATGCATAAATGTAAATGTAAATTTGCCTTAAAGGATTATGCCAAGGGTGCTAATGGCATCTATAAATCACAAAACCGCTATTTTGTACTATACAATTCACTGGAGTATAAGTTAAAGTAATACATCATCAATTATTTAAAATGATTTCTGCCTGTCAGCAGTGTGAGGTTAAACTGTCAGAGTAAATGGTCCATTGGACATCAATATTTGCTTTCTAAAGGTGTTCAGGTTAAGAGCATGAGGCTGCCTAGTTAACCTGCCTTTAAAAAAATTTTTTTATGCATTAAAAAAAAGGAAGGAAGCAAGAAAAAAAAGGGAGAACGGAAAGTTACCAAAATTCCACAGTGTTTTTGCCACTGAGGTGTTTTTTCCCCCTCTCTTATGTAACACAACATCTCAGGAATCCCGTAAAAACGCAGTGCCGGCGACTCCGCTGGAGAAGAGAGGGTCACATGGAGCACATAACTGTTTCCACGCCATCACGTTTTACTGAAGAGGTGCCACTCGAAGCAAGGACTGCTCTGTGATGTATACAGCAGCAGCTTTTTGTGGATTTTCATGGGCAAATAATCACTTGAAAAACTGATGCTTTTGAGTTGTATACATAAAAATTATGTAATTTGGATTAATGTACTAAAATCTAGTGTGCATTTCCCAAATACACACTAGATTTAGCCCCAATTAGAAGAATGTAACATATATATGACCTATGACCTATGATGCTTTTTCCTGGGATATTCACCTTAGCAATTATTAAAGAATCATAAGTATTGGAAAGTCTCATGAGAGCGATTTCAGTGAAATTCTTGTTTGTTCTTGTGATCTGGTCTGTTAATTGTTGCTATCCAGTTGTATTCTACAACCGTGTGGAGATCCTGAACATCGGAAAGGCATGTTGATGACGTTTGTCACTTTGTGGGGGTTTCTTTGTGGCAGGAACTTGGATAAAAAAATGAATGCAGCACTCACATCAGGCATTTCACTGCAAAGATTTGGCTGCTAAATGGACAGCTGTGCTTAGTTTAACAGGAAGGAATTATACCTAAAGAAAGAGTACCTGCTGCTAAAAAGAAAAAAGTCTCGTAAAAGGGCAAACACCGTTTACTGCTAATAAAAACTTAATGGGAGATTTTTGGGAAGATTTTTAAATGAATTTTTTTTAATCAACACTTAAAACTTTAATCCAATTGTTTTTTCCCAAATTGTCTCTCCAGAAAATAGCATAGATAATTTATAACATGTGTTGGCCTTTACCCCTCAGCCACAACATTATGACCAGTAGCAAGTAAGTTGCACGGCAATGCTTATATTACTGACCTTGCATCTTCATAACCACATGAACATTTGTTATTTATTTGAATTTGACACTTGCAACCTGTTAAATTAAGATGAAAGAAAGCACAAAAAGGGGTCTGATGGGGTCCAAGTGGCCTCCCAGACTCCCCAGTTATCGAATTGATTGGATATGTTAGCATTTGTTGGACTCAAGTCGTATCCTGGAAAGCCCACATCACCACCCACAGACTGGAAACAGACAGAACATTCATTTTGGTTATTTTGTAGAGCTTTTGTCTACTACTTTAGCCTTCACTTCAGTGGTCAGCGCGGTTAGAACCCACCGTCCGAGTCCCCCAGCAGCAGTTGGACCGCTGATTTGTACAAAAAGTGGAGCGGGAGTGTTAAAACATGAAGCGGCAGTTTCCTCTCATTATCAAAACGGAACAGTTAAACCACATAACTGCGCTCTGTGAGGACTAAACCACAGAGCGACACCTCCACCCACGCAGGACCATCACCGGCTCGCCACACTTGCATTTGCAGGAGGCCTCAAGTGTTGCACAAACCTGCACCGACACGGAGGCCGTCTGCCTCCATCTCCCAAAGAGAAGAGTATCTGGGTTTGTTGTTGTTTGTTTTATGCTTAACAATTAGCCTCAGTTCTGTGACTGTAACAGCTGTTCTCTTCTTTAAGCATTTTTCTCTCAGTGTTTTTGTGCAAACCCCAAATTGCCCTTAGGGGTGAATGTGAGTGTGTGTGTGTGTGGTTGTTTCTGATTGTGTGATGATGGATGGATGGATGGATGGATGGATGGATGGATGCTAGCCTGTCTATGAGTGTGTTTTAGACTCCAAGTGTGGTGAAAGATATAGGGCCAAAGCTACCTCAATCTGATTCTTTGTCAAAATATGAGAAGAAAATGCAAAAAAACTATGGTTGCCTCATTTTTGCGTTAATCGCACAGGCTCAGTAAATTGCTAGGGGATTTTTTTTTTTGGAAGGGGCGGGAGTGTGAGATATGTCTAGCTCTTTTGCAATAATTTGGTTAGAACCGTGGCTAAACCCACACCCACGTGCTCCAAACCCGGCAGGAGCGTAGCTGCTGCTGTTTGGTCACACAGTTCTTAAAGAAGAGCTCAGGTCAAATCCCACCGATCTCACATGGCGGAAAGTCATCTTTTTCAACCCTGGGAGTGACCTCGCTGCAAAGAAACCACGTAGACGCACTTCTATAACTACTATTGTAGAATAGTATGATACGAAACTGTCGCAAGCTAATTCAAAGGGAAAAACAACACAAAAGGGTTAGCAGAGGGTATTTTGAAGTAAAGATGTCATTACTTGTCAAATTACGGTCATGTGACACCCCATGTGATTTAGTTTGTCTTGCTCGGAAATGTAGATTTACAGTGGGGGAAATAAGTATTTGACCCCTTGCTGATTTTGCATGTTTGCCCACTTACAAAGAATGCAACGATCTCTATAACTTTAATCATATGTACATTCTAACAGTGAAAGACAGAATCCCAAATAAAATTCCAGAAAATCACATCATATGAATTTATAAAAATTGATAACCATCTGATGAGGAACAATAAGCATTCTTTGTAAGTGGGCAAACCTGCAAAATCAGCAAGGGGTTAAATACTTATTTCCCCCACTGTATGTGTTTTAAGGTTTTCGTGCATGTTTTAAACAACAGAAACCTGTCTGTTTTTTTTTTTGCAGTGCCTCCAATGTCCATAACTTCCACCTCTCTCGTGGCATCACATCATCTAAATCCAGCGTGTAAAACTAATAACCGTACACAGTAATTGCAACGAACGAGACCTCGGAGAATGCTGCCTTGGAGGCGCGTTGCTTTATAAGTATAGGTTTTACAGGATTCCAGTGGGTCTAATGCGTACATTCACCAGTTTCCTGCCATTCCTCTTCTCCGAGTTACGGCACCGGCTCTCATTCCGTCTGCATGTGAGCGCGCAGCGTGTCACATGCAGACGGTGTGTGTTGACGGTGTTAAAGTGTGTGTTGTGTAAAGGGGCCTCTGTGTCTTTTCCCAGCAGACAGTTTTAACAACGGCCTCGCTCGGCGTCTGTGCGAGCTGGACTGAGACCGAACAATTATGTCACCCAGCGTCCCGGAAACAGGAGAGTTAGGAGCAACGTGAGTCTGTTGGTTTAGTTTCTTTTTCTTCAACCACTGAAACTGTGAGTGGTTTATTTTGTACAGTTCAAGCACAGATGTCTAGTCATCTTAAATATCTTAAATGGCACAAGTTCACCATTTTTCCTTCTTTTTTTTTGCTGATCTCAGTGAGCTTGCAATTTGACATAAACAAGGGGGAAGATCCTTTGAGTTGAACAGCACAATCTACAGATCTTGTTCTGCTACTGTTCAACCCGGGTCCAGTCTGAACTCGGCCCAGCATTTAAGCACGGGGCCTGGAGAACTACTGGTGTTCACCACCAGCTCATGTCCATAAGACATGTTCAAACGCTCACTGACGGCTCGGTTTGAAGACAATTGATTGATTAGGCATACTTGGAAGAAAGACAAACAAACAAACAAACAAAAAAGAGCTAGAAACCAATAAGAGATAAAGGTCCGAAACCAGAGACGATGTGAGCTGTTGAACGATGAGGGTTTCCAATAAATCAAAACTAATTGAACCAAACCTTAAAAGGAACTGCAGGAAAAAAAATAAGGTTAACAGCAGCAAAGATTCAGCCTTCTGCTGGTATTTTACAGTCAGAGGACAAAAAACAAGTTTCTTAGACACGGGAGGAAGTTCTTATTTTCTCCTGAGATTAACTAAGTTTTATTTATCCACATTGAGGATTTGTGCTCTTTTTATTTCTTTTTTTTCCCTAAGAAACGTTGTAAATATTAAAGAACAGCATCAAGGAGATCTGTCTCTTGTGTGTACATTTGTTAGCTAATACTGAGAGTAATGAGGCTGAATTAAAGTCTTTTGCAGTTACCAGATGGACGCGATTCCTGGACTGTCCTGTTTAAGCCTGATGCTCCAGAGTCATCCGAGGGCTCGTTTTCCCGTTGCAGCGGCCGCAGATGAAAAAACCAAATCTGAAGTAACCTGATGTGATGTGCACCTCGTTTTGCTGATATTACCAAGCCTGAAATCCTGACCTAAGGAGCAACTAACATTTTGCTCCAAACGCCCGCATCAGATCAGAAGCACGGAGCTGGGAGGTAAAGACTGAGACGGCTAACAACTGTGTTTCACTCTGTTTCCTTTGAAACAATATGAGCCCCCCAGACTTGTAACATTAAACACATTTTTTTCCCTTTTAACATGTTTCCCCCTCCTAACATTACATGTATTTATCAATGTTTGCTTTCCCGTTTACCGGTAATTATGGTCACTGACCTATAGACCTATGATCCTTCAGTCCTGAAGGTTTTAGATCAGCTCGCCCGGTTTTCATGGAAAATATCCGTTCAGAAGGTTGTCATGGACAAGTCTGTCAATAGTGCATGGATAAATGGGGAATGCTGAACCAGTGTGGTGGTCAGCACCATGGCCTCACAGCCAGAAGGTTCTGGGTTCGAGTCCCCGGGGGAACCAGGACCTTTCTGGATGGAGTCTGCATGTTCTCCCTGTGTCTGCGTGGGTTCTCTCTGGGTTTTCTGGCTTTTTCCCCAAAAAACCTGCATGTTATGTTGATTGGACATTCCAAACTGCCCTAAGGAGTGTGTGGTTTTTGGGTCCTTGTGTGTCTCTGTGTGGCCCTGCAATGGACTGGAGGACCATCCAGGGTGGAACCTGCCTTTCGCCCATTGACCAGTTCCCCCGGCGACCCCATTAGGGAATAAGTGGTCACAATAATGGATGGATGGAACCAGACAAACGTCTAAAAAAACAGGAAGGACAGCGGCCCTGGAGTCAGTTACTGCCATCTAGTGTTCACAACAACAGGCCGTCTCCACTCCAGAGGCCCGGCCGTGATGATAAGGGGCAAATGCGACTAATTCCACAACAATTTGTCACTATTTACCAACAGGAGCCAGGGAGCTTTGGTTCCCGAGGCATCGAGATATATCAAGGCTCTTTTTTTTATCGGAAATAGAGTCAGATCCCAAGAGAAGAAAATTAAATCTCTGCCTGAGGATCAGTGATCACATCAGATATCGTCCGGTGGTCTAAGGAAGACACTTCTCAAGCAGACCCAGATGCTGTCCTGTCGGAGGTTAAGACGTCATGGCAGCATCCATGTCCGCATGACCGCTTCCACCAGCCTCGGCCTGCAGTGGCAAATCTGCGAGCGAGCGTCACGTTTTTTTCTCCTTTCTTTTTTTTTCCCCTCCCCGTGCGTGCACGTCACTAGGCTTTCAGGACTCATTTCCCACTCGTGCGGGCTTTGATTGTCAAAGCCACCCGGGGCTGCGGGGCCCGTCACGCGGACTCGCTGTCATAACGCCACCGCGGCATCAAACCAAACGTGCGCCTTGCGCTGGAAAAATGGAAATGGAAGCCCCGTGAAATGTACGGCAGCTTGTTCCTGCTCCTATACTGCGGGGGGTCTGAGGGGGGAAGGTTGAGAGGGTGGGGGGGGGGGGGGGGGGGGGCATCTTCCTCTGCCGATGCAGCGATGCGCAGCCGTGCCGCATGACTCACAGCGGCAGAAATGGCACGGGGATGTAAACAGGGGGCGGGCTCGCGCCAGGCCGGGGCCTAACCTGCGCGGGTCCCAGCCAATCCGGGTCCGCGTAACCATGCCTCCCCACCCCCCCTCCCATCCCGCTGTCGTCATCGGTCCTCCGCCACGCCGATACGGCGAGCAGCGGCGAAGCGCAGCCTCGCAATTACGCGGAAAAAAGAGGAGCTGAGGAAGGTTAGGGGGGGTGTGTGTGTATGTACGTGTGTGTGTGCGTGTGCTGGCAGGAGCAAAAAAAAAAAAAAAAAAAATTAATCTGTCAAAGGCGAATTTGTGGTATAGGGATGAAAGCGCTGGAGTGACCGGAACGGGAAAAAAAAAACCAAAACCCACACAGGGCGAGAGAACGCTTCATGCTGACGGACATCGCCGCCATAGCAGGTGGTGGCTTGTGTAATCTTCCAGGGTCTCGCCGCTTGTGTTTGCTGCCTGATCTGCGCGTCGTTTCAGCACTGGACAGCGACCGGAATCTGACTCGGACTCTGAGGTGGACATCGACGGGAATCCTGAAGCACGGGGTGAGCCGCCGGACACACACCTCCGTCCATCCGATGGCATATTTTCTTTCTTTCTTTTTTTTTTTTTACATTTTATTCTTTATTTCCCGAGCGAATGCCACAAGCGTGCGCGCGCGTGCGCGGGGGCTTTTGTCGTGCGCCGTAATTCGGGCGCTCCGGGCGTTTTGATTCGCGAATCCTCGCGCGCCGCGGACGCGCGCATATATATAGCCTTTCCGTTCTCTCTCCAAACGTCCTTGAGAGTAAAGGCGTCGTGCAGCTCTGTGTGTGTGTGTGTGTGTGTGTGTGTGTGTGTGTGCCTGTGTGTGTGTTTGTGTCAGGAAAAACACAGAAATAAAGGGGGTGGAGGTGCGGGATGGTGGTGGTTAGAGGGGGGTTTAGGTTGTGGTGGTTTAAAGCAACTGCGCAATTGTCTGTCTCTGTCTGTCCATGTCCCTCCCTTCTGCACCTCTACCCCCCCCCCCCCCCCCCAGCCTCCGCTTCCCCTCTTGGTTTTCTGACTGTCCCTCTCTAATGTCACACACAGCCCAGTCCGACCCTCGCTTGGCTTCCTGGGATGCGCGGCTAGATGATTCCACTCCATCAACAAGCGCCACGGTAGTCCTGGACTAATATAGCAGCGCTACATCCCCCCCCCCCCCCCCCCCCCTCCCCAGTCCTAGCTCTGCCCATTCGCCCGATCCGGATCCCTCCGTCTAAAAGGCACCATGGGGAATCGCGGCATGGAGGACCTGATCCCGCTGGTCAACAAGCTGCAGGATGCGTTCAGCTCCATCGGCCAGGCCTGCAACCTGGACCTGCCGCAGATCGCGGTGGTCGGCGGCCAGAGCGCGGGCAAGAGCTCCGTGCTGGAGAACTTTGTTGGCAGGTAACGTTAGACCACCGGAAATAGAATAATCCTTTTTCTCCCGTTAACCTTCAGGGTGACGTAAGAGGCCTACGCGGAGCGCATGTCTTTCATGCGGGGATCGAACCATTTTTTTTTTTTTTTCTCTCCCCAACCTGAAGTCCCAGATTGGAAACGCCTTTTCACAAGCACCTTCAGACAAGTTTTGCCCTTTTTTTTTTTTTTTTTTTTTTAACACACTGTTCTGAGCCCTGGCTACCAGAGCAGGGAAGCTTTATTTGGGTTACAGTCGCACCTTTGGGGATTTTGGCCCAATCAACACAAGTGAAGGGCTAGAAATATCCATCGCTTCTCTGTAAACCACAGAACGATGGCTCTCAGTGTGTGTGTGTGTTAAGATTGCAGAAGCACATGGCTGCCTGGAACCATTTTAAAAGCGTCATCCAGTGTCATCTCCTGCCCCCGGACGAGCACATGAATATTCATGACGTTTCTCTGGATCTCTATTTTCTTCTGCCCCCTTCCAAAAAGCACCAAATTGCAAATTTGATTAAATTTTCTTAGCTAGATGAAGCTAAGAAACTCATCACAAAAAAAAGAAAATGCCCATGATCCCCGTTGACATTTGAAGGCCTTCACTGACCGCTTCCTGTGAGGCTCTCGTATCTCCCACAAGCAAAGAAGAGCACTCATGTGGTCTCGGGCTTTGCAGGAGAATGAAATGCCGCAATCAGTGACTGATTAATATGTTCAGCTAAATCAAAGTGGCTGAACAGCTGGTGAGACAAGCTAAAGGCGTCTGTTGGTATTGGAGAACATGGTGAAGCCGTTTAATGCATATAGAATTTTAGATGTGAATATTTAAGAAGTGGATAGGATGACATTTATTCCCATGTTTACATGAATATTTATGCATTTAGGAGTTCCATTTATTCACATGTGGCTTTATGAGTGTCAATGCATTGTATATAACCAAACATTTTGGTCAATACTCTCATATATTCACATGGATGCATTGATTAGGTCCTTTTCCTGTCATTAAGTCGTGATGCTGAGTAATGGTCCATCTGCTCAGCAACTGCCCCACACAGTGCTGAATGGACAAGGGAAGGATCCTCCTTTTTCAAAGCTCATCCCGTTTGAGGGCCTCCTAAGGGTCAATACGTGTCAGGGAGGTTTCTCGGAGTGGGCGTCGTGTCAAAGAGTGTTAGTTCTCACACTACGCCCGTCTGCTTGTGAGTTTAACCCCCCGGGAAACACTCCGGTCATCGTTTTTTTAAATGAGATAGCTCCTGGTCGGTGTTGCAGACCTTCAGGTGGACTTGTTGCTCATCGGGTCGCTTTGTTCTGCACCTTTTAGAACGCTTTGATGCAGCAAAAAGCCGACGACAGCAACAGGGTTTCTGTCTTTTAAAATGGCCTCCATGCCATTTTTCTGTAAATGACACTGAAATCCCGGCCACAGTCTGCATGATTGGAACGGGTGTATCATTAACGTAAGCTAATAGAAAAAACCTTCAGGAGTCGAGCGACAATTGACCACCTGCCTGTAAAATGTACATTCACTCTTTCATTGGTTTTCAAATTTGCTATGGTCTGATTTTTTTTCCACTTGGCTTTTTTCCTCCAGGGATTTTCTGCCCCGTGGATCTGGTATTGTCACCCGCAGGCCCCTGGTTCTGCAGCTCATAAGCGCTAATGCTGGTGGGTTCCCACACACACCAACACACACCCACACATGCCAACACGCATATATTTGCACACACTGATGCGTGAACACACAAATCCACACTCCCCCTCTTTTCTTTTGCACTGCTGCTGTTTTTTTGTTTTGTTTTTTCCTCTGGCTTTTCGTCCTTCCTGCGCTGGAATTATTTCCCACCGTTTCCCAGAGCCATTACTAATCTCCGATACGTGTTCTTTCTTCTCATTCTGTCAGAATGGGCCGAATTCCTCCACTGCAAAGGGAAGAAGTTCACCGACTTTGACGAGGTGCGCCAGGAGATCGAGGCAGAAACTGACCGCGTGACTGGGGCTAACAAAGGCATATCGCCCGTTCCCATCAACCTACGCGTTTACTCCCCTCACGGTACGGAATCGCTCAGCGTTCACCCTTTAATGTCTAGTCGACAGTCACACCATTGAATCAAAATGGACCGAAACAAACCGAGTCATTAGCAAACTAACATCAGGCTGACGATGTTAGTGAAATGAACTCAGAAACAAAGGTGATGGTTATGTTATTGGAAAGTTATGAACAAATTTGATTTATTTAGACATGAATTTATACTATATATTTCTGTTTAGAATCAAATTCAATTAAGCCTTTCTGATCTTGTTATAATATTTGCTGTGCAAATGTAAGTGCTTTCATTTACAGCAGGAGAAAATTTTAACAATTTATAAAATGGCTTTACTCATTTGATTTAAAGGCTAGCGGTTATCCTAAATCATTTATAAAGGTCAATAAGAATAACATTGTTAACTACTCTGGTTGGTGCTGGCAGTTTTTTTTATAACAAAATAAGTTAATACATGTTGGACTGATAGCATGAGCCAAACAGCTTAAAACAATGAGGTACAAACAACTTTGATGAGTTACTCTGTCTTTTCTCCCAAAACAGGATTAAGGTGCTGAAATAATTTGATAGTTATATCCATTCAGAACCCACCATGTTGAAATCTGTACAGACCAGTAACTCAAACTATTGGAGTCTGGGTTTTTTGTTATTGCTGCACCTGTTGATAAAGCTGAATTCAAATTTAAGCTTTAATTTGCTTTAATTTGAATTCAAGTGGAGATTTAATCATTGAAGAATTTTGGATTTTTTCTTAATTCCCTTTGTTGACATAAGATGTCCACGCTAGCTAACAGCTAATGTTGTTGTAAAACAGCTAATGTGGCTAATTATGGAACCATCTAGCTTGATGATAATTATTGTATTTGTAAATGCTTGAATAGATGTAGAGGAATCGCTAGCTTATAAGAAATACAGTTTAGCAAACTATTCTACTTATTTGATAAATTCTTGTATATTATTATTTTGAACATAAAAACATACATTTCTCAATCTTGGCATGAATGATACCTTACATTTGCGATTGTTTTATAACAGGCTAATGTGGTATTTTGCTGGTTTTATTGGTGTTCTTACTAACTCTAAAAAAACTATAAAGTAAACTACAAAGCGTTTACTTTTAAGGTGTTTTACAGTATTTTATGTATTCTAATCCTTGACAGCATTTGTGATTGAAAATTAATGCGGTGCCACACCCACTTAGAAACCCTATGTCAGGTAAACACGGAGAGTCTTTTGTACTTCAATAGAAATTTGAGGAAATTTAAAAAAAAGTTATTATAACAAACCTCTATTGTATTGAGAAACACTCGAAAAGATTTTGGTGACAACTAACATAAGTCCCACTTACAGCATTGTCACCTCAGACCTTTCATGGTGTGAGCTGCCAAGATGACCACATTATCAAAAAAAAGAGAGAAAATATTCACTATTAACTGACTGATGATTCTCAGATTTTGAGAGACGCATAGAGGCAAGCCACAAGCCATGTTTTCTTAAAAAGACACAGCCAGACACACCCGCGAAGCATTCATCAATCTGTTGACGCAAGAATCTTAAAAGAAAACAGCTATAAAACAAAAAGGATATCCTACAAACCTTTTTACTATTCCATGCCTCACTCCAAAGCATTTTAACTGTATTGCTGGAACCAAATTGTAGATGAATTGGAATGCTCTGAAAACTAAATAAAGAAAATACTGACAAAAATATCCTTGGATCTGAATAAAGGTTCAAATAGATATTGAAAGATTTTGGAAAACTATCAAACTCCTCTCAAATAAACGTGTATACTAAATTCTATCACAATCAGTGGTGCAACTAGCTGTAACTGAAACTGGCCTCATTTATCAGGGATTGCACATTTGGCAGTTGGCCTTGAAATAGTAGGTGAAACCTAATCGTTCTAATTCCATTGCCTTTATTTCTTCAGCTTTACATTGCCAGCCACTGACCGATCTCAAAGAATGCAAAGAAACTGGCCGCACCATGACTTTAGACATTCGGTAGCTCGGCTCATGCTTTTTGGGTCCATGTGTTTGTGCAGTGCTGAATCTGACTCTCATCGACCTGCCCGGGATAACGAAGGTGCCCGTGGGAGACCAGCCCGTGGACATTGAGCAGCAGATTCGGGATATGATCATGCAGTTCATCACGAGAGAGAGCTGCTTGATCCTGGCCGTGACTCCGGCCAACAGTGACCTGGCCAACTCTGACGCACTGAAACTGGCCAAGGACGTGGACCCCCAGGGTAAGCCGTGGACACGGGGGGTAAGCAAGGGATGTAGGGGGTGGAGGCAAGGCGAGTTTATTTGTGTGGCACATCTCGCGTACATGACATTTCAAATTGCTTTAAAAAGAATTTAAAAGCAGAAAAACAAAGAAAGAAAATGAACGAACAAAATAATTCAAACAGATTAAAAGTGAAGGGCACAGATAAAATACATTCAGTATCCATATGGATGAAACATGAGTTAAGAGCAAAGGGGCAAACAACATTGTTGGAGGGATTCAAACATGCAGAGTAAATGTCATCATTTTAATTAAAAAAGTTTTCAAGATTATTTAAATACTCTTTTTCCATGACACAATTTCTTGAAGTCCAGATGAAATATTACACACAGACTTGATACAACAGCTTTCCATTCAACAACCCTGTCCTGATCTGTTAGCTTTAGCTCTCCTGCAGGTTTTACGCCTCTACATATTTTAACCACCATTACCCACGCATTGGAAAATCCCATTGGTTGACCTAAGTTGCGATCGATCATTTTTAGCTTGCATGCTAACATGCTAAAACAGTCAGAGACCCCCATAAGTAGACATACATTTCCCCACATTTGTAGTTTAGCCACAGGCACCTGCTTATTAAAGCTTTTTTGGGCCCCGTTTTATTGGACCTTATGCTTTAAAGTTGCGCAGGTTATTAAATCAGTGGAATGAAGAGGGGAAGGGATTGAAATAGAGAGGAATATGCAATGTGTGTTTAATATGGGGATTGTACTATTTTCCACAGATATAGAAACATTCATATTGGATGAGATAGAACTGGAGCGTTTTTGACAGTTATCTCCTGTCAAATGATAGTCCGTGAACATATCCTTGTTCCTCTTTTTTTTTAAATTTCTCGTCAAGGTCTTAGGACTATTGGAGTGATCACCAAACTGGATCTGATGGATGAGGGCACGGATGCCCGGGATGTGCTTGAGAACAAACTGCTGCCGCTCCGAAGAGGTGCGCCTTATTTTTTATTCACAGTGGAATAATATCTGCCCGATTTTGTGTAACGCTTGTGGTTCTGCTTTTTTTTTTTTATATCTTCCTCTAAGAAAATGTTCCTTTACTGTCTTATTTCACTTATTTTACCACCACTCCTTTATCTGTTCTTATCAAGCGGCCTCCAATGCCGCTATTATTTCTCTACTTTTTTCATTCATTATTTCTCTGTCTGTCGGTTTTTTTCCCAGGGTACATCGGAGTGGTTAATCGCAGTCAGAAGGACATCGATGGCAAAAAAGACATCAAGGCAGCTTTGGAGGCCGAGAGGAAGTTCTTTTTGTCCCACCCATCGTACAGGCACATGGCTGAGAAAATGGGCACCCCCCGCCTGCAGAGAGTCCTGAACGAGGTGATGATGGATTTTTCTCTGAGTGCCGTCCCATAGTGCACTTTACATAATTAAAAAGAGTGACCTACTTTCTCTGTTTTTTTTTTTGTTTTTTTTTTCGGGCCCCTTTGTACGGTGCATGGCTGTGGGCGTCGGTAGATTAAGGCTATCAGTAGGTGGGAAACACATTCACGCTTTCTAGCTCGGCTCCAAATGAGATCGAATTCCACTCATTCCAGATTTTTTCCGCATTGTCGGCGGACTAGTGTTGCATCTTCTTCTGTTACAGTGAAATGAGCAGTCTTTTTTTTTTTTATTTATTTATTTTTTTAAGCGATTGTAAAGCCTCTTGTGATTTTAAGAGCTTAATTTTCCTGGTTTTTGCGTTGGTTTTTTTTGTGTGTGTGTTTATAGCAACTGACCAACCACATCCGGGACACCCTGCCAGCTTTCCGCAGCAAGTTGCAGTCCCAGCTGTTGGCCCTGGATAAGGAGGCCGAGGAATACCGAGGATACCGGCCCGATGACCCCTCCCGCAAAACCAAGCAGCTGCTGCAGTCCGTATCACGTTTTTTTGTGTTTACATCATGCGGACGGGGGGAAATATTTCATAGGATTATTTTCCCTCCCTGCACTCATTTCCCACGTTCCTTTTTTTTTTAACTATCAGCTTGCATTTCGCAGGTCCGGCCTTTTATTGGCTGATCGTTTTCCTTGTTGTTGGCTCGCAGGATGGTCCAGCAGTTCTCTGTGGACTTTGAGAAAAGAATCGAGGGCTCGGGGGACCAGGTGGACACGGTGGAATTGTCCGGGGGAGCGAAAATCAACCGCGTCTTCCACGAGCGTTTCCCCTTTGAACTCGTCAAGGTGATTGGCCGCTCGTGAGATGAGCCAAATAAATAAAAAACGCCTTGTTAACAAAGAGACCCATTTTCTTTTATTTTTGTTTTCATTGGTTTCTTCCATTAATGCTCTTTCTCATGATGTTAGCCCCGTGAAACCTTATTTCCAATAATACACCATCAGAAATTCTCATTTTTAAACCGGAACATTTAAACTGTCCCACATTCTGTATTTATATCCACTACCTTTTTATGTAATAAATAAGAAAATAAAGCTGTCATTGAGTCATCCTCTTAGTGGAGGCTGTGGGTCGTGGGTAAGAGCAGTTGCTCTCCTATTGGTGGGTTCATTCACGGTCACTTAAAAGGAAGGAAAAAAGAGCTGTTATGAAATAATGATAAGATTTTAGAGCATATTATTTAGAGCGTCTGTACATAGATTTTTTTCCACCCGACCCCTCCTAGAAAATCCTTAATTTCTCCCCCCCTTTTAGTTCTGTTGGGAAACCTTTGCTGTTATCAGAGCCTGTTCAGTGATATCCTATCTTATCAGTTTTTCCGTAAACGCCAGTGGGCCCTTGCTTTCTGTTTTTCCTTCAGATGGAGTGTGACGAGAAGGAAATGCGCCGTGAGATCAGTTACGCCATCAAGAACATCCACGGCATCAGGTAGGGCTTTGCCGAGGAAATTCTTTCATTCGTGTCCCGCCTTTTGTAGTCCCACTGCCACTTCCTGTGCCAACAGAGGTGCGCGCCAGTTTCCCCTTAAACCCGTCGTTCTGCCAAATATTTAGCAGCCAACTTCTCCGTGGTAGGAATCCACCATCTGTTTACTCACATTTAAATGGTGAGGACACGTTTCAGCCTGTGGCCAGGGGGATTAGTATTGCTATGGCGAACGTCGTTCCAACATGGCGCCGAAATGAAAACGCCAGGAACCCGAACAAAACTGTCACGCACAACGGCGTATCTCATCTTCTTTTTTTGTTTTTGTTTACTGTAGCTCTGCCCAGTCCAGGAAACACTTGTTTGTTAAGAATTCAGCAGCTGGTCGGCACAATCACCAAAAAGATGCCGCTTTGAGTTTATTTTTCTCCTTAAATCAATCTTAACTTATTGACTGCCAGAGATTTTTGAGCATTTTGACTGATTTTTCAAGATCCACAGAATAGTTTGTGCTATGACTATGTAAACACCGAACACACCAAAAGAAAGAGTAGACTCTCTTCTTTCATCAGGAAAAAAAACGTGTTTCTACCTTATTCCGTTCTTCCTCGACTTGCGTCTCACCGGCGACATGTTCTCTCATAGCGAACCGTTACCCTTTTCTTATTTGCCTACAGTCTATGCTCATCTCCCATCAAAAGTGGCACTGCCACCTAGAGGGTCAGTTTGTTAGTACATACTCTGTCTAGAAACCTGATATTTACGGACAAGCTTTAGCAGATCGTCCCCCAAGCCACTCTTGTTGAAAAACATAAAAGACGTCTATAGACGTCTTTGGCAGCCAATGAGTTAATTAAAAGATATGTCACCACTATAACTTTTTATTATGAGCCATTTATGTCGCAAATGCATTTAAAGGCTTTATTAATTAATAAAAAATAAAACAATGTTTCTCGCATGACCGTCTTGTCCTCTTTTTTGCTCAGAACCGGACTTTTCACCCCAGACATGGCGTTTGAGGCCATTGTGAAGAAGCAGGTCATTAAGCTAAAGGAACCTTGTGTCAAGTGTGTGGACATGGTCATCCAGGAGCTGATTAACACCGTCCGCCAGTGCTCCAACAAGGTAACCCTGCCGGACGTCAGCTTGACCCATTGGGTCTCTACCTTTGTAGCTCGGGGACGAGAGGGAGGAGGAAAGTTGAACATGACCGGCTGTTTTCTGTGCTTTCAGCTGGAGTGCTTCCCCATGCTGCGTGAGGAAACGGAGAGAATCGTGACCACTCACATCCGAGACAGGGAGAGCCGGGCCAAGGACCAGGTGACTGCATGCATTTGTTGATATCTGTGGACGTCTGGAGGTGCAGAGAGAAGCCGTTTTTTTTTTTTTTCCTTTTGCGGTTTCTAGGTAATGTAACAGCCAAGTTAATTTCTAGTAACAGTCAACCCCAACAAAGGAAGTTGGAAAGTTTTTTCACTGTGTGATAGAAGCATGAATATATTTCATTTTTTAAAATGTTACAGTTAATAAATCATCCAAAAAATCCATTCTGACCAATTTCACTGCTTTTAAAAAATTGGTAAAAATCTCATCAATCATTTGACGCTGCAAAATCAGAAAAAAAAAGGAAGAAAGGAAAATTTCCTGTTTTTTTTTACTCATAATGATACGTTCATGAAGGTTTTTTGTACCTTTCTCTGATAACATTCTTGGTGGTCTTTGTCATCTTTGGCACACAGAACCACACCTGATTTTTCCCCCAAAAAACTGGCCACATGTCCACTTTCTCTAACTTTGTCCGTGCTGAGTTTAAATCGTGGAGCTGTTTACCACTCGGCCCTAAAACACCCTCCCCTTTCACCAGCTGCCTCTCTCTTTACTGCTTTAAATTTGTCGCTCACATCATATTTAAAAAGTGTTGCACGCTTTCTGAAAAGAAAGGAGTTAATCGGCACAGAAAATCATTATTGGATTTCTGTCCGTTAAAGAGCCATTTAAATTAATGAAGGAATGAAATATTTAGGCTTTATTGCAAATACAGTTCTGAGAGTCAGAAGATGAGATGTTCATTTTTATTTTTTGGCTTAGCTGCATGACACTCAGATTGACGTGGTTAACAGTCTCAGGAAGCCGTTTTTTTTTTTTGTTATTTCAGGTCCTCCTGCTGATCGACATCCAGCTCTCTTACATCAACACTAACCACGAGGACTTTATCGGCTTTGCTAAGTAAACCTTTTCTAGTCGCCAGAAGCAAATGTCTCTGTAGTCCATAGACCTCCTTCACCCACGTCTCCTTCTCTTTCTGTCGTCTCCTCTGTTTTTTTCGCCGGCCCTCAGCGCTCAGCAGAGGAGCAGTCAGACTAACAAAAGCCAGAGTTCGGCGGGAAACCAGGTGAGCGTTCGCCGCTTCTTTCAGTCCAGGACGAACTGCGCACCCCAAAGCAGAAAAAAAATGTCAAAGGGACCTGTGAAATCCTCTCTCATTCGAGTTTTTTTTTTTTTTACTCCTATGTTCTCTGGTTTCATGATTGTTTCTATGATTTCTCTTTTAGCCATGCACGCTGTAATGTTTGAACAGGGCACCAGGTGTGAACAGTGTGTGCTTGTGTGCTTTTATGATTTTTTTGTGTCTCGTTTTGGGCTCTATTATTTATTTTCTTTTTTTTTTGCCACCCTCATGACCGCTGTTGTTGTTGAGACGTCTCCCTTTTGTTTGAACCCCTCCTGTGTCATCAAGGTGCCACCTTGCATTTCATCCCCCATCCCTTAGTGAGAATCTCAGCTGCCCTCTTAGGGGTGTCTGTTGGTGAGTATGGCTCATTGTGGGTTTTTGATTTGAAATGTCATGTGTGCCTGCAGTTACACCTCTGCCCATCGTGTGGTGCTCTGCAGCACTGCTACGTTGAAAAAAAACACTAAAGAAAAAAAAAACTAAGACAAAAAACCTGTCATTTTCCTCATTTTCCGCTATAACAGCCCGAGAATGCTAATTGACTTTTGTAGGCCGTTCTTGGGCAGAGGCCTTTTTCTGGAAGTTGCACTAGAAAAAGTTGCCTTTTTTTTAAAAAAGTGCCGCACGGTGTCTAAAAAGCTCCACGTTCCCTCCGGTTTCAGGCCTCCTCTCCTCCCGCGTCAGGCCTGATTGTAAGAGTCTCCTCTAACTGTTTACTCTCTCACACCGCCTCCACCCGCGTAGGCCTGCAAGACCACGAGGGGTTGCCATCGAGACATGCGGCATTAAACGTCCAATTTTGGTTTGGCATTCAAAAAAATACCATCTGCGCAAAGCAACGATTGGATCTCTCTCCGGCAATATGTGCCTGTTGAGAGAAAAGGCTTTGCAATGATTTGGGTAACCTCCTTAGTGAGTCTTAGGCGGTCCGAGTCTGACAGTAATCTAACCCCATAATCACTTGGCACCGAACCCACAGGCCTGCTCGCGTAGGCTCCAAGAGTTAATACACCTAACACAGAGGACGCACTCATGCTTTGTGTGTTGCTAAACACAGTGGTCACTAAACAAGCTTAACCCCGGGCGTCTTCTTGTGGAGCACAGTCCCTCGGTCACTTGCTTTGTCCCCGAGCGCACCGCACACACACGGCGCCACGCCTGACCCCGCCCGTCACACACATTTCATCCTAATTTTGCGCCTCGAGGATTTGCCCAGGTCGACTTTATCCAGGCAAAAAACGTAACCACGTGTGTTGTTTTGTCTTTTAAAAAAGAAACCTTTTCTTTTTGTCTTGAGGGCGGATTCTTGTTTTTCTTGCTTTTTGTTACAATCCCAAATCAGAAAATGTAAGGAAAAAGGATAGTTTTAAAGGTTTTTGTGATTTTTTATTTATTATTTTACAACTCCAGTAAGTCTCCTGATTGTCAGGTCCACTGAAAAAATTTGGCCTATATACATCAATGCCAGACAAATCTCCCTAGATCTGCAAAAACTTTCAAAAATGTTTGGGCATTAGCATTTTAGGCATAGTAATTAAATCAATTTTAACAGTTTAAGGAATCTGGAGGAAGTTCAACGAATTAAAGGCACAACCCCTTAGCTGGAGACCAATGATGGGACACAGGATCCAGTATATAGCTGACTCAACCACATCTGCATGAGATTAGTGTTTGCAACATTTCTGATCAACCACAGTACAGAAATGGCATTTTTGGAATAGCCTTGCTTGAAGCGGCGATGCCTCTTCAGGCTCGGATGCATCTGGATAATCACACATTGGAAATGTGCCTTGTGGCCAGAACGATCAGTGTTTGGAATCTTTGCTGGAGGAAATGGATGCTTTGCAATCCCAAGCAAAGATTAAAATCTATACTGTGGCAACTGTACAAAGCAGTAAAAGTTTTACTGGCCGAATTTAAAAAAATAAAGAAAGATGCAACATGCAAAACAATTATATTCAACTAAACATTGAATATCTCTGGTTCATACTGTTTAAGTATACGAAGCCAAATTAAATGCATGATCTTTATCCAACCCTCAGGCCTTTTCTAATTTGGGGTTGTAGAAATTTGACAGATAAAACAGGCTCCGTCGGTCTTTTCTGCACGCGCTCGTTGAATCGTGCGCGCTGATTTGGCCTTCCCTCTACCCTCAGGTCATCCGCAAAGGCTGGCTGACCATCAACAACATCAGTATCATGAAAGGAGGAGCCAAGGAGTACTGGTTTGTGTTGACCGCCGAGAGCCTCTCCTGGTTCAAGGATGACGAGGTGAGTTTAAATAGCAGCTGTGCTTTTTTTTCTTCCTTTTTTTTTAAATCACAAAAATAGTTCGGAGCGAATTATTTTCAGACTCTGCAGGCTTTTAGGGCAGCAACCTTGAGCTATGACACAGTAACAGAAAATGGTAGGCAGCATCTAAAATATCTCACATTACCCATTCAGCATTCATTTTTGAAGTGTTAATAGTATGATTTTCATTCAGTTTTAAACTTTTTTCAGAGGAGCGTGGGGGATTATTATTCTTTGAACATTTTTTTTTAATGTCATCTTTACCAAACTAATGTAAATGTCACATAGAAATGGCATGGAATGTAGTCATCTTTTATATTAGGCCTGCTCATCTATTTGGCTAAAGGTGGAGCCAGTTCAGTCAGTCATAATTCCCCAGTTTTTTTTATACATGGTAGGAAATTACCTCCATGAAAAGCTGACAGCTGATACAACCATTCACCGCTTGTCAAGTTTCGAGTGGAAATCCTTTTCCAAAGTGAAGTAAAGTAAAGTATTCCTCAAAGAAATATGTATCAAAACAGAGAACAAATAATACTTTTGATCAGGCCACTCACAGTCTTTGCTGACATTTAAAATAAATCTGTTTGTGATGGCTGAGAGAAATACAACATTTTTGCCTATTTATTCCAATCGTTAATATTTCCATTAACACTGACTAATATCTGGGTTTTCAGTGCAGTCCTTTTTATTGGCATCAGATCCAGGGGTGGTTATTTTTCTTCGAGGGTGCTGAACTTAGGGCTGCAATAGTGCACACCTTATAATTTTAAACCCCCAAGTTTATCAATTACTTCTCCAATGGAGGCTCTGAGGGGAACAAACCCCCATATAAAAAGAGAGAGGTAGGTCAATTCTGTATTATCATTTGACAGCCGGCAGATCTGCAGTCAACAAAAAAAAAAGATAAAGAAAGAATGCTTGTAAAAACTCTAACTTTTCTGAATCTGTGTTCTAAAACAATCTGAAGCTTTTGGTGTAATACTCTCTCTTTATGTTGCTCATCATAGTGGGTTTTGGTACTAACTAGGCTGGTTCTGGAAGTGGAACTGGCTGCCGCTGGTTGCAGTTCAATTGATTTGGTCCAGCAGCTGTGCTTTAATTAGAAAACTGCGAATCGAATTTTGGCGCAACAAATCAGAGCCGTGTTTTCTGTCCAATTTTCGACCGAGGCGTCTGTTTTCCCTTTTTATGAAAGGTTTAGGTGCATTCCAACAAAAGCCACGCTGAGAAAGGAATCAAGTGAAATTCATAGATAACGGAAACAGTAACCGACCGTAACGCCGAATCAACATACAGAGCACCGTTAGAGTAAAAATTGCATTCATTTTATTTTCATGTTGCACACAATAACATCAAAGGCAGAGCCACTCTGAAATTCTCGCGCGTTGGTTAGAAGCGCGCCAGCATTTCGGTCGGTCCTGCTGGCGTAGTTTGGCAGGCTGTCGTCTATCTGCCTGTCTGTGCCTGCTGTACAGGTTTGGAGGATATTCTGCACAGCAAGTGTAGATAGGCGGACACACTGCAACTCCTCCGAACCGGTCGGGGCCTCGGCTGCTTTTGGCCGTTTGTCGTTTGTCGACGGGGACCTTTCTGGGCTTCTGGGCCCGGTTTCAGGGCGGACACACGGAGGAGACATTTTTTTGGGCCTGAAGAGAAGTTGAGAGAAACAAAAGCATTCTCTACAGCCTTTTTTTTTTTTGGTATGGGGGGGGGGTTTCATGCGTCGCCGCTATGATGAAGCAACTGTTCTGTATGAATCACATATGTGAGGAGCCCCTCGTCTCCCCTTAACTTCTTTGTCTTGGAGCAAACCCCCCCCTTTCCCTCTCTCTTTTCCACCTCCTTCCACTGGGAGTTTAGGCATTCTCTTCTTCTTTTGCAAATTTGGAACGGCCCCAGTTCCGACCAAATGTTCCCTCACAGACACCCGGACAGATATGAAAGCCTTTCCCGGCCCTTTTGCGCTAACGCAGGACTGCACGCCACCGAGTCCAGATCGCCATTTGAGATGTAGGGGAAATTATAGACTGCTGGCATTCGCCTTGTATATTTCTGTTTTACACCCCTTGAACTTTCTATAGTCACATACACGTGCACACAGACACACACACACACACACACACACGGCCGCGCACCCTCCTCCCTCTCCTAATGTGGCTGGCAGTTACTTTGGAACTGCTCGCATTCTTGGCAGGAAAGCTTTTAATCCAAACATCAGCTTCCAGCATTTCAGGGGGAGAGAAAACCCTTCTATTAAATATCAATAAGCCCCCGTTAACGTCCCAACTAGCTGCTGCCTCCCAACGCAGAGTCACCCATTTGATTCTCTTAACCGTTTTTGTGATATTACACAAAAAAACTGCAATTCCAGCCTTAAAAAAAGACGATCTAACTGGTCAGTTTTCAGTGTTATTTTGGAGTGGAGCTGTTAGTCCTGTATTTATTATATCCCGAGAATACTTGTTTTAACACTTATTTGACTCTGCAGCAACTCTAGCATACATCAGTGTCCCCTTTGCCTCCCGGCCTTCCATTCTCCCTCTGACCACCCACTGAAATAACTTCACTCTGGGTGTCTCGCTATATTTTCAAACTTCACTTGATTGATTGGCCCTTTCGTTCCTCTGGCCCGTGTTTGATGCTTTGCAGCCACATTTGCTCCCCCCCCCCCCTCCCCTCACCCATTCCCCCCACCCCTTCCAGTGGACCACATCCTCATCAGAGCACGGGCAGTCTGCACACTCACTCATTCATGCTATAAATTATCTGAGCTCGCCGTTTCACGACCGAGGTTTAAAAATCCTCCGCCATTTTGGCTAAAATGACCCCGACCGGTAGCGCCCCCGGCTTTTCGCCGCGGGGTTGAAGTTAGTGGGAGAAACTGGTGACACATGTTTATTCCAAGAATAAATCGGAAAGAACAAAAAAAAAAAAAAGGGGAAAAAAAGGAAGCAGTGAATGTTAAAATGCACACGGGACAAAAATAAAGATGGTTACAGATCAAATACAAAAAAAAGGGTGAGATCGAAGCAACGGATGCACAAAAAACTAAACAAAAAAAAAAAAAGGCATATTGGAGGACCGAGAGAGACAGAGAGAGACACACACAGACAGACAGGTTTGACAGAAGAGGGTCCTGGCCCAGTCTAACCAATGTGCAGACTACTGTACACCAGTATGACAATGAACAGGTAGTCTGAACACTGGGTGGACGGAGCCGGAGGTAACGGGCCAGGCCTTGTGTCGGCGTTTTTCTGCCTTCCCAGATGCTCGGGGGTTCTGTCGTCTGTGCCCTCCCTTTTCGCCCCTTTCCATTTTGGCAGCAACGATCCCGCAAAAAAAAACCCTAAAAAAAAACAACAAAAAAAAGCGCGATAGGCCTCATCCGCATTTGCCTGCGTTCCCCCTTTTTTGTTTTTTTTTGTGATGCGCCCCTCTTGGCTTGTTTGTTTGTTTTGGTCGGTGGGCGTCTGAGCTCTGGGTCCCCTCGCGGTCCGTCCTGGTCACGCCGGCCATGAAGAGTATCCAGCCTTGACGTGGCATATTCGCTCAGACGACTGGGACACACTGGCTGCACGTTCAGGGAGGGGATATTACAAAAAAGAGGGAAAGAGAGAGGTGGAGTGGGGGGTGGGGGGGTAGAAAAAGGGAGAGGAAGAGAGCGGAAGAGGGAGGGGACCCGTGTGACCATATATGGGCCGTAGTGACCCCCTTGGGGAATACAGCCCTTGAAGGGTCTGCAGTTTTCTCGTCCTCTCCTCTTCTTCTCTCCCCATCTCCTCCGAATCTTACCTGCAGCCGGCAAACAGCTTTTTCCCGAAGAGCGTCGGCACTCGGGGTTTGCGTCCTCCTGGAAATCTTTTCGCAAAGGCGACTCCCGCGCCTCTTCTTCTCCTCGGGTCTCTCCTCCTCCCTTCGCCCGCCGTCTCCTCGGCTTCTCCCTCCTTCCCCGCTTCCCTGTGTGCCGCTAAGCACAACCAGATGTTGAGTTTTAACGCCAGGCTGTCATTTAATCTCTCTTGCTCTCTCTCTCTCTCTCTCTCTTTCTCCCTCCTTCCAAAAAAGAAAAAAAAAAAAGGCAGGCAGGAAGTGGGCCCCTCTGGAATGAAAAGGGAAAATATTGAAATAATATTGAGGGGGTGGGATGAAAAGAAAAAAAAAAAGACAAAGGGAGTTAGGATAGAAGAGTTTGGATTAACTGGTAAATGAGGGGTAATGGTCTTCGGCGTCCCCCCTTTGAGTCGGTTTGAGCCTCTGACTCAGTCATATCTACACTGCATCTAGGCCCTTTCTCCATTTGGACCTCCTTTAAGCGCCTTTAAGTGTCAGCATTTTCCCTGTCAGAACCCTAACCAGAGTTTCCTCTGCCTACCAGCGCTCCAAAAAAAAAAAAAAGGAAAAGAAAAATGAAAAAACTTACCGTGAAGAACGACTGTTTCTTGACCCACACTGTAATGACTTCCACATGTGCTCTCTTTCTCCCATTTTTTCCTTCTCTGCCTTTTACCTCTCCTTCTCCACCCCACCCCCCCCCACTCCCCCAAACTCCCACTCTCACTTCTCCCCCATTCCTCCTCCCTCCTCTCACCCCCGTGCTTTCTCTGTGCACCCCCTCTTTTTAAAAGCCTGACTTCACCTTTTCTCTTCCAAGCATCCCGTTTCGCGGCGTTTTCGCGGGGCCTATGACAAAAGGCCCGAAATGAGCGGGGATCTTTTAGCCCCGCGCGCTAATTGGGATCCTTCTGCTGTCGTCATTCACAGGAGAAAGAAAAGAAGTACATGCTGCCCCTGGACAACCTGAAGGTCCGCGACGTGGAGAAAAGTTTCATGTCCAGCAAGCACATATTCTCCATCTTTAACACCGAGTCAAGGTCTGCTCTTATTTCTACCTCTCAATGAGTTTTAGTTGCAAATGATCAAAGTAACCGAGACCTCTTAGCTCGGTGGTGGCTGCGGCCCTGTGTGGTTTTGCAGAGGCTGAAATATGTTTCAGATTATGCGTCATGGACAACGAATGTGCAGGCTCATATGTGCACAAACACAGAAAGAATACGTCCTGCAAGAGGAAGAAGACATTTAGTAAAAAACAGACATTGGGTAGTAATTCATCTCATAGATTTATGGGAAAAATGGAGATCCTGTGTTCATTCCGTTGTAATGGTAGATGTGGATCCCAGTATGTAGTTTTTCCCGCACTGAATCCGTGCAGAAATGTTCAGAGTCATGCCTGAACTTTCAGTAATTGTTGCAATGTGTCCTGTAAAAGGAATCATAGCAGCTCATTTTCTCTCATACGCTCTCCACGACATCTTGGCTTAATACATGTAAACTGTAAAAATGGGAAAGTGTCCCACATGGAAGATCTTGCGCACGGCCATGAAAAGAAAGTATTTCACTGTGTGCTGGTATAATAAAATTTCATCTGGCTATTATCCAGATGTCGAAATTGGATAGTGCAACCTCAGATGAACAATAACACACTGTGTCCTTTATTCAAAAGCGTAAAAAACTCATCCAAAATGTTGCCTTGGATGCGAACAACTAAGTCTAATTAGTCACTAAGTCAACATGATACACCAGAACCCAACACGATATGACTTAATTCACGTAATTATCACTTAATTTACCTAATTAATTAATTATTTGTAGCATCCAGGTGTTTGTTTAAGCCAAAGAGGAAAGACCTGGGAAGAGTCATACAAACGTAATACAAAGTATTTGGAGGCAGTCATTCTGCGGTGAGAAACATGATTCAAAAGCTGAAAACAATCGGGGCAGTGGGCAATCCCACTGGGAGTGGACGTTCTACAAAGCACTACCCAAGGTCACACGTTAAACATTCAGAGGCCAGACCACAAAAAAAAGACAAGAATCAAGGTTTTTATTCAGTCCTAAAGAGTTTTTGTCACACTAATGCCCACAAACTTCGATTATCTTAATTTTGAAAAAACAGCCAATCTACTCCCAGCTCTGAGGATTTTTATCTTTGAACGCTTTATATAACAATAAAGACAACTCTATAGGTGGTTCATGATAACACGGTATCATAAGTAATGCTCAAATTTAGTGTGTAATTAAATAATTGCTGCTTTAGAATTCGGGGCATTTTGACAGAAGCTTGTTGGGTTGATTTTCTGTTACCTGTGCTCGAATGTGCTTTTTGGTGTCCAGGAATGTTTACAAGGACAATCGCACTCTGGAGTTGGCCTGCGACTCTCAGGATGACGTGGACAGCTGGAAGTCATCTCTGCTGCGTGCCGGGGTGTATCCTGAGAAGACCATTACGGTCTGTGAACCAGCTTACCCTCAGTTCAACACGATCGGCTCACACTGGGCACAGCTGTTCCGTCTGATCCCGTCATTAATGTCTTTGTCCGGTTATCACCTGTCAAACCTTTTATGTGAGCCACCCACTAGTTTGTAACTATGGAAAAAATGTCGCCGGGCAGTTTGAAGCAAAGCTTGAAGCATAATGCGATTTCTCATGCGTCAAAATACATTCCTTTACTTAAAAACGGCATTCAAAGATCGATGTGTAAATGGCAGCTCTGTGTCACTTAGATCGAAAAGGAAAAAATGATCTGTTTTTGAAAAATATCCTGCCTCCATATTTCTTTAGGTTGAGAGTGAGACCACTTCCACTGCAGATAACTTCTCCATGGACCCCCAGCTTGAGCGTAAAGTGGAAACCATTCGTAACCTGGTGGACTCGTACATGGCTATTGTCAACAAGTGCATCCGGGACCTCATTCCCAAGACCATCATGCATCTGATGATCACTAATGTAAGAGGCAAAGGAGGTTTGGCTGATTCCCGATTCTGGGTCAAGGTGTCATTATATGCCACATCCGTGGTATCCCTAATGTAAACTGTGAATGTTTCTAAAAGGAAAAGCTTAGTTGGGTCTCTTTTGGAATCTTAACACTCATTTTTTTCCCGTAGGAAAGAGCTGAAAGCAGTCTTCCTGTCAGGGACTGATAAATAAAAGACACCCTTAAATGTATTTATCCTTACCCTTTACCCTTAATTTTAATTTAGTAAACAAATATAAATAGAAAACTGCCCTGTGAAAATACGGATTACGCTGGTAGTCCAAATATGATTTTTGCACAAATGACTTTTTCTAAAAGCACATCAAAGGCTAAATATATGTTTTTCTTATTTAATGAGCAGTACCCCATTTTGAAACAAAAAGAGCTATCTTCTGTGAATTTTGTTCTTGACATGCAAAGGCCCAATTGCGTTATAAGATGGGCTTTTGTCTCTGGCAATTTATAGTCAAAAATTATAACAAATATATAGTAACAAATTGTACTTTGTTGTGTGCACAAAAAAGCTCTGTAAAAAACAAACCATAAAAACCCCACAAAGCCTCTATTTGTTCCTATGTCTTCCATCACTACGTGTTTCCTCCTCTAGGTGAAGGACTTCATCAACGCGGAGCTCCTGGCCCAGCTGTACTCTGCGGGCGACCAGAATGCCCTGATGGACGAGTCTCAGGAGCAGGCCCAGCGGAGGGACGAGGTCCTGAGGACCCATCAGGCCCTGAAAGAAGCCCTGGCCATCATCGGTGACATCTCCACCTCCACCATTACCGTCCCTCTGCCACCGCCTGTTGACAATTCCTGGGTGGGGGGATCCACTGGTGGTCGCAGGTAATGTGAAGATGAATTCAAACGGAATGTGAAAATAGACTTGTGGAACTACTTTCTCCTTATCATACATTTTTCTACCACGTGTTTTATCTCGTCCAGGTCTCCTCCACCTAGCCCCACAGCTCCTAGGAGGATGTCCTCTGGCCAACGTCCAGCTCCGCGAGGGGCCCCGCCACCACCCAATCGTCCAGGACCCCTGGGGCCGTTTAATAACAGTGCTGACAGCCCTCAGGCTCCCAGCCGCCCAAACAGGGCCCCCCCTAGCATCCCCAGGTAAGTATATTCTATCAGTCATCTCCTCAACTAGCCTACTTCATGGCGTCCATTATGGGAATGTGGCCATCTCTCACAGATCCATTGTTTTCAACTTTCTATTAAATCTTTTACTGTGACTTATAAAGAAACCCCCTATCACCATTTGAGGAAGGAGGTGACGTTACATAATATTTTTGTATTCAACTGTTGGTGTGAGGCCGCCACTAGCTAACTCTTAGCTTAGCTTAGCTTAGCTTAGTTTGGCAGAGAGACTGTAAACCAGTCAGAAAGGATGGAACACCAGTAAAAGATAAAGATAACATTTGATAAAAATTATACATTTTTCAAATTTGAAAAGCACGTTTTCAGAAGAAGCAGAGCTTTGAATGTATGCTGAATTTTATTTTATTTTTTAAAGATGCAGAACTGTAAATTATGAGCCTTTGTGCTAAGCTAGGCGTATTTGCTGCATATGGCAGCTTCATACTTAGTCTACACAAACAATAGTCTTTGCGTGTGATTTTTGACAACAAAATAAAACACTCACTTATGGCGATGCTTTCAAACTTTCATGTGAGAGACACTGAGGCACTATTTACCTTTTGTGAAACACCCCACACATAATCGGGACTGACAGCTATACGCTGAGCCCGAGCCTCGGCTCGACAGCTTTATTATGCCCTTTAGCAACACATCCATTTTCATCTCACGGCGCACGAACAGTGCTGATTTCGCTCGACAAAAGGAGAGCGACAACACACGCACAGGAACGAAACAAAGCGGCACAGCCAGGACTTTGCGCATCAAAGAGATTCGTGGCCTAACCAGACAGTAATACATATCTACAAATCAATTACCATATTCCCACGTATGACATTCAGGGTGATATAGTCGTTCACTCCCCTGCAGCATCTGTCATTCTCTTCCTACGCCATTTTCTGCCAGGGATCAAAGTCTATGGGAGCTTCGTCAGCAGAATACCTGCCACACATTTCGTTTAAATTTTTTTACTTCTTTTAACAAAACTGAAGATACTGTTTTTGGTTTTAGACTCGGAACCACCTGTATATTGATATCACAGCTCCCTGGTTTAAAGTTTTCTCGGTCATAGACGCTTGACCGTTGAGATCTAGTCATGTAAGGCTTCAATAGGCTTATGAAATAACTTATTTGTCCTCATTACTTGTTTGTCTCCACAGCCGGCGGCCACCTCCATCACCTACACGACAAGCCCCATAATCACCTTACGGGGTGCCTGAGCTCCTTCCCTCATCCACTCCATCCCTCCTCTCTTAGCCATGGCTCTGCTGTCCAGGTCCCCCCACTCCCACCACCCCCTTTTGTGCAGACACAGACATCTGTGTACCCCATTTGAACCTAAACTTCCTGCCAGGTGACCACATCCAGATATCTATGTACAGTATGGTACTTGTCTTGTGGTGTAAGTGTACGTGTGCTTGTTGCTCGCCTGTGAACCAGGTTTGCTTCGCAGGTCCACTACCCAGTATCAGTCCCCCCCGGAACCTCTCCACCAAACCTCCACCTCCTCTGCCACCACCCCCTTATAGCTGCTTCTATCAGAAAATATGCTCAGCAGTCATACTGCCCTACCCATTCCAAAATGCAGCATGGCACATAAGCTGCTCATATTGCATGGGAGTGTGTGAATGTGGAGTGTGTGTGTGTGCTTTGTGTGTATGTATATGATGGACAGACTAACTTGCCTATATGTAGGCCAAGTTTGATATAGTATTGTATTAATTTATTGTATAATATCTCCCCTAGGTGTTAATTATCAGCTTGATGTTCTCATAGGAACAGAAGTTGTATTTTAGTATAAGTGTGTATATGCGTTTACAGTGTGAACAATACTTTGTATGTGCGCGTGGGTGTGCGTATGTGTGTGAGGACCCGTGTGCATGTGCCGTCTGTCTGCACGTTTGTTGGCGTTTCAGTTCTATTTGTTTTCATGGTCAAAACTGTTAAACGATAAATCCTAAAACCCTCCGGGGATGAAACTTAATGTTTGACTTTTGTGAGTTGTTCCCGTGTTGTAGTAGCAGTCATACACACATAGCAAGGCTGAGGAGCACCTTCAATATTCTCTAGATGGAAAAACAGAAACAGCCTCAACAACACATCTAAACTCGCCATAGGTGTCCACCTGTGCTGTAACGATGGTCAAATTGTGACCCTTGCAACCTTAAGCTCTGATTCAGATGCTGCTCGGTGAGATGGATGTAACTGGAGTTTGCACTTGGTAGAAAACAGAGGAGAGCGCGTGACTTAATCTGGCTGAGCACAAACTCCTTCATTGAACGACTAATGAAATATCTTTAACGTGTATCCATTTTAGCCTTTTTCTCAGGTCTGTCCCACGCAACTACATGCACAAACCTCCACTTCTCGGTTTTGCCCACCTATAGTCTCTTCTTTCCTCACTGAGAAAACACCAAAGCTAGTCATGCCAGCATTTGCATCAGAGCAAGGGGTTTTATTGTTGATGTTCAAGTGCTTCTCTGTCAGTTTGTTATTGTGTATGTGGGCCTAAACTGTGTTCTGATGTATATAGGTAATGATAAGGAGATACTGTACCTGTGGACTACTAAGACCTCATCATGAATCCTAGCGCTTTAATCGTTCTCTATGTCTCTATTCACTATATGCTCTCCTCTCCCTAATTTAGACTGCCTTACTGGCATGGATTACAATTCTTTATTGCCAAAGTTAAATACAGAAAGAGAATTGCTAAGTTAAGAAAAAAATATTCAGCTGAATACCAGCATCAAAGCGGTTCTATGTTTAGCAGAGGGCATAATGTAAAACTGGGGGAAATGCATCAGTTGTTACTTTCTGTGTGTCTGTATTGCTCCTCAATAAACTTCCTCATAATGGCACATGTTGTGAACAGTCTTCATTCTTGAAGTCTGCAGGTTTGGGGCACATTTTAGATCTTCAGGAGCTCTTTTTGGATGTTTTTGGTGTCCTAAACCACCTTAGAAACACAACCCCTGCCACTCCATTGAGGATTTATTTTCTATGCTCTTTTCTTTTTTTTCTAAGCTAAGCCTGGAAATTCCAAATTCAGCACACTGTCACTTTTTCCACCTTTACAGAAACAAACAGGTTAGACTTGATGATGAATGACCCATATGAGCAGCAATTCCTAACATTTGCCCCAAAAATTCACATTAGCTTGGGCTATGTCAGAATGGTGACCGGATTTGTGATTTTCCTTTTTTATTCCCTCATGAAAAAAAGTGCAAAAACAGTTGGGAGCTTTTGTGTTCACTCTTTAGGTCTTTGTTATTATTATTAGTTTATTTATTTGTTTTACCTCGGGTCTGAAGACTGAATACAATGTCTGGAGATCTCTTTTCGGAGAAAAGCAGCTGTAAATAACAAACTGTTTTCTTTAATACTTCTATCGATCAGGCAAGAAAGCAGAAAGCATCATCAGCTACATGTTGCTGCAGCTCCAGCCTCCGTAACCCCGAAGTGGAAGAAACAGTAAAGGAAATGGATGGAAGTACAATCAGAAAAAATAAAACAAGAGAAAAAACTTATTCTGACATCTATATAATATTTAAAAATTCAATTTATAGTTTGAGACAAACCTGGTCATACACTTGAGTCTAAATGAGGATTTGTCTGCTAATAAAGGATAAATCCAAAAATTGAGGAGAAATATATTACTGTCTAGAGTATGTATGCAATCAGTAGCTACTTTAAAGTTGGACAGTAAGACCACATTTGTACCTATTTTAGGAGGCATCCTTTTTTTTTGCTGTCTTCTAAGTTATGTCTCCTCGGATTCCTCTATTTTATTCAATAACTCCTGTGGAAATACGGCTGTCAAATACTATGACCACACAGCTCTAATAATATTGGTGATTGCACTTTTCATTTACCTTTCTATCCTTTGTCCTCTTAAAATGACTTTCATGACATCATACACATACTCATGAGTGGCGTACTCAAGAACATTTGAGTAGAGGGCACCCTCTAGTGGCCATGATATAAAATTACTTTCCTGCCTGCCAGTCAAACTTTGTACACAGACGTATTTAGTCTGTAAAATGTACAGCCCAAAGACTTGGAATTGCTAGAATCATATAATTCTGTGGGAAAAATCAGTTCTTAAGCAAGTTATGGATAAATAAAATGCACAACGTCACGCATATAAACTTTCTTTAGAAAACCTAAGACGTTACCCTTCGCTATATTAAGTCTCGCGATGTTTCGTGAGTGGTGGTTTGATAAAAAAAATCGGAAGATTCCTATTTACAAGGCATTTACGTTTAGAAATCATTTTAACATGTGGTTGACTTAATTGTGTTTTTTCCGTGTCGACGCGTTTGTTTTTAAGGCAAGTCTGCGAGTCTCGAGGTTGCCGAGACCTGCATTGCAGGGGCATCGACGGTTGAATGAAACGCGCTCAAAGTGATCGGGTGACGTGGAGTCAAAAACAAGCGCTTCCCCAAAGCCCCGCAGTTTGAACTGCGCAACAGCGATGCTGACTTTTCATTGGACAGTTGGACGTCTGGCTTCTCACTGCCGAGCCACAGCAGGTTTTGTATGGGGGACAGTGGTTACACACATACGACTCGTCCGTGAAACTCCGAACGTCACTTTAGCTGCTAAAACACAACGGCTTTTATCTACGTCGCACCCCGCCGAAGAGCTCCAACTTAAACCAGAAGGTGAAACGTTTCTCCGTGTACGGCGAGGATGTCTGTCCCGGCAGGAGAGGGATGAAGATGACACAACTGTTGTGGCGAATTGTGTCAGTGTGCCTATGTGTTGCTGTAGTCTGCCGGTGAGTTGGTCGCATATGTCCCAACGGGATAACACGTTGTTGGTCCACTGTTTGGTGTTGTGGGTCAAACCTACGTTTTTTTTTTTTTTGTAATACGCAAAGGTTGTACTGTTTACAGGTCCAGCAGCTAGCTAGCTACAGTAAACGTTACGCTGTGATGTGGCACCTGGCTGACTTGTGACTTGTCGGCGTTAGTAAACCGGAGTCACTGACAGCTTTGGCTTAAACGGGCTAGCTTAGCGGTAGCTAACAAACAGCCCGAGCTCAAATTAGTTTATAAGGGCATTCGCTTAGTGACTTTGTTTGTGGCCAGAACGCAGCAAGTTTTTAATCAGTCATTTCTGGACGTTGAGCTCTACTTGGTTCGAGCTAAATGGAGCCTGTCTGGAAGACACCTGACTAAAACAAACCCGAGACTCTGCTGCTGAGTCTGCTGGACATGGTCTACTCTTACTTCCCAGACCTACGTTAACTCGGATTTGTTTCACCAGCTGTCAGGATTATGGGCCTTTGATATCAGTCTGGTCCCGTCTAAAAAGCCTGGGGTCATTTTGTTTATGGAAATCTTGACAGAACACATGGGGATTGTGAGATGTAGCCAGTATGTCCCTTTGTTTCTCTTCTTCTTTTCTTGTCAAACCATAACAATATGAGGCTAATGGTCAACATCAGTTATATTGCAATTTCTGAAAATAAAAAAGCAAAGCAATCTTTTCCCATATCTCCATAGTACAGAAATATGAAAAATAATTGTTAAATAAGCAAATGAAAACTTTTCTGAATACATTTTCCTTCCTTTAAAAATATTCTTTGATGCTGGACCTACATGGACAGTTGAGTCCCCCTATGCTAAGAATAGCCATTACATAATGTCCGTTGCATCTGGAACATGATTTATTAGGTTATTAAAATATCCCAGATTGATTATAAGACTTAGAAATGTGGCTGTTGAACAGAGTTTTGAGTCAGCTCAATGAGACCTTAGAGCCAAGCGGCCCACTGCCAAACACTTCACTTGGATATAATAATGAAATCCAAATAGAGGTCTGGATTCTAGGCAAGTCACAGGTGTAACCGTTTGTAAAAAGAAGGGCATTTACTCTGCGCTTTGAAAGCCTTTGACTGCTAAATCCTTTTGTGTTCCTACCAGGAGTGGCTATCATTGTTGTTATTCGTCAACTGTTCCTGTGTATCTTAATTTTGTTTTTTTGGGACTTCCATGGCTTTCCTAACCGTTCGATCCAAATTAAATATCAGGCAGTGGAAGATGTGAGCTGGAATTGTTCTTTATTAGTTCCACTTGCTATGTAGTTGGCAGGTTGCCTCCCTTTACCTAGCTGATGAGAGTCACTGTAATGCTGGTAGAATCTAAGAAATTATCAGCTCTGGGAGTGTCATCAGCTGACTGCACCAACGGGAAAACTTTGCCTGGTTACGAGTGCCGATGAGTCAGCTAAGACCTCTGAGATTAAAAAAAGTCACCACAATTTGTGGCATCTTTAAGTCTATTCCTGCTGCGTAAGACAAACGACACATAGAGGGGTTTTACAGTATGTCTTTACTGTGTGTGGGCTTTGATTTTTAGCAAAGTTTCTGATGCATAGCATGACGACCATTATGAAAATAATACTTTAGCTATGCTGAAAGTTTCCTCTGTTTTATTGCTTACCCCTGATGTTGCTACCGTCATTAGGAAGAATGTAAGACTTTGAGAAGTGCGTCTTTTGACCTGTGTTACTACACACAGATAAGAAAAAGACCATCTGGACTTGTTTGACACGTCATTAGCTCACAGTTTACTCTTCCTATGACTCATTGCTTACTAAAACATGCTTTGTTTGCCTTACGCAAGGGTTAATATATTCCCAAAACCTAACAGTTTACTTTTTTTTAGACCGTTGGAGAGTTTCTGGAAGACATTATAAGGAAGACTGTTTTTAAATAAGGCAACTTAGTGGTATTGTGTCCTTACATCTGTTGTGTAGGTACCCTGATTGCTATGTCGGATGTACAGAGTCTGACCCAGAGGTCCAGAGGCCCGAGTTCTCACAGGACATCACCTCAGAGGAGGAGTCAGAGAAGACGGCTCCTCATCCGAAGGTGGGGTTTTATAACTGATACTATAACCTACCATGTGGCATCGAGCTTGTTGTGTTGGAAGTAGCTCATGTGACTCAACACTGTTTATTCTTGTGCTGATATGGCACACAGGAAACTTGTCACTCTGCTAGAAACGTATCGCATGTTCGAGGCACCAGCCGGATATCTGAACTGATTAAAGATTGATTAATTATTTGTTTTTCCAACCTTTCCAGTCCTTATCTGAAAATGAGCAACAGATAGCAGATGATCGCCCAAAAGCCGAGCAGACAACACAAGAGGTGGACCTAAAACAACATGCCGAGGTAGAGTATACATTGATAAATAAATAGAATTGAAAAAAGGACAAGAAAGGAACCCTGTTGACTGACTACTATTTCTTCACTAATCACCCAATACAAGGAGCTTTATCTTCTTAGAAGACACATTTCTACACAAACACAACCTTTGTAGGGTAATAAAACACACACAGCTGTACTTCATCCGGCCCCCAAATGCACCAAGCAATACTCGTACATTTATTGATCGTTCTGGAACATTTGAAGCTTTTATCGACCAGTCTGGCTTTGCGTAACCGGCCATTTATCTCTTTGTTGTTTTTACATTTGTTATACCCCCAGCCTTTGGAGGCAGATCAGCCCGACGTGGAGGTAGAGTTGGAAGCAGAGCAAACTGTACCACAACCAGAGGAAGCCTCTGAAGATCAGCATCCCGAAGGGCTCGTCTCTCAAAACCAGGAGCCTGGCCCCCTGCGGCCCTCCCCGGTTTCGGCCGTCCCCGCCGTGCCAACAGGTGATCCCAGCGTCCCCGACCCACACGAGGACATCCCCAACAGGCAGGCTGCTCTCCATGAAAACGTTTGCCCTTTTGTTAAGATGTCCGTCATGTTGGCTAAACTGTGGGATGTGGTGAATTTCAGTGTTTCAGGTGAAGCTCCGGACGTCGGGGATGCTGACCTGCGTCTGGCCGACTGTGTGGAGGAAGGAAACAACCCATATGACGGCGACAGGTTGACACAGCTCACGGCCCACATTCCAAAAATGATCCAAATCAGAGCAAGGGGAAACTTAGCAGCGCCCTCTCTCTTTCAAACAAGGCAACATTTTTGTTTATTTCTTTGACAGCCCTCCGCTGGTTTTGGAGAACACCGCCAACGCTCACACCGTCGGCACTAAAACCCACACCGAGCCCCCCCTGAGCCCGCCAGCCGTGCCCAGCGCCAAGTTTCTGGATAGCAACGCGTCGCACGCGCTCAAAGAGCCGGTAAGGCGGCCGCCTGTTATCTGAACTACTTTCCTCGCTGCCTGAGGAGGTGTCCCAGCTCCGGGATTCTCATTATCTGTGACAGGCGCTGAGCTCCCCCGGCGCCGCAGACACAGATTCCAGCGCGAGCAGCCGAGACCCAGAGGACATCCCCACTTTTGATGAGTGGAAGCGGAAGATGATGGAGGTGGAGAAAGAGAAAAGTAAGATTAGACGTTGCATTTCTAATCATCATCATTTTACGTCAGATGAACTCTCAATCATTTAAAAAAAAAAATCTTATCCCATCTTATACCCTTGCTAATATCTCCCCCCCACCCCCCATGTAGCTTTGACTACTCACACCTCCAACAACGGAGGTCCTCAAACAGTGAAGAAGGTCCAGAAGAACTTCAACAACTACGCCTCAGTGGAGTGTGGAGCCAAGATTCTTGGCGCTAACCCGGAGGCGAAGGTGCTTTTCCGGCAGCTTTTAAAAAAAAAACACTCCAACTGGTCAGATGCATCAAAACCGATGTTTATTTGTTGTTTATTTAACGCAGGGCACGTCGGCCATATTGATGGAGAATAAGGACATGTACATGTTGAATCCCTGCAGCAACAAAATCTGGTACGTGCCGCCAAGATATCAGCCGCTTTCTACCCACAGGTCAGTCCTTTCTAAATGTTTCATTAAAAAAAATCTAATCTCTCTGTTGCTCAGGTTTATTATTGAGCTCTGTGAGCCCATCCAGGTCAAGCAGTTGGACATCGCCAACTTTGAGCTTTTCTCCTCCATGCCCAAAGACTTCCTCGTCTCCATCAGCGACAGGTACGCTCAAAGCGGCGTTTTCTCGCCACCAGGAAACCGCAAACACGAGCCCCCCCTCCTCCAGACGCTCATTTCACCAAACTGACCGCGTCTTAATGCGTAACGGCTTTCAGGTACCCGACAAATAAGTGGCTGAAGCTCGGAACCTTTCATGCAAGGGATGAGCGCACGGTTCAGAGCTTCCCGTTAGACGAGCATCTGTATGCTAAATACGTGAAGGTGAGCACGACCCGTTGGACTCTGGCGTAAAGTGCACTTAAAAGCTTTCTGGATGAGCTCCCTGTGAAACCTCCTGTGAATGCAGCTTTTTGTCTCCCGCACTGTAATTTCACTGCTTCTCATTAAACGCTACAGTCCACATTATTGCTTGTTATCGTTCACTTTTGTGCTGAAATGAATCAAAAGTGGCATGGCTGTATTTTGTAGAGTGAAGTAGTTATGGAGCCTTTTTGCCTGATGTGATCCACATTAAACCACCATGCTCTGTTTAGTGCTGTTTTGAGTGCATGCTTACCATCTTCTTAATTTCTCTCTCTCTCCTTTTTCTCCCGCTTCAGATGTTCACCAAGTACATAAAGGTTAGCCTGCCCTTTCTTGTAGTGCACTGTGGTTGGATGAGCTGAAAATGTGGGGGGGGGGATAATGTTTTCTGACTTTTTCCACTAAGACTTGTCATCATAAGCAAATCAGATGTAAATCACTAACACAGAATCCTCCAAAGCATCACGATCCCAATGTTCACAACACTAATTAAGAACATTTGACAGTCTATATGATCAATAGCTGTCAGTCGATCATATTCCTTCAAATGCAGATATGTCCCTCTGATTTACTCGCACGATAACTCGTTCATTCATCAACAACACTGAATGAAGGCCTGTCTGTTTGTAACCTCCTCTATGATCTTTAATGCGTACTATTTCACACCGGTCTTTTTGTTGTGTCTGTGAATGGCAGCTTGTGTTTCTTTGTGCACTTTCAGGTAGAGCTGGTCTCTTACTTTGGCTCCGAACACTTTTGCCCCCTCAGTCTGATCAGGTGCGTAATGAATGAATGAATCAGTATGTTTAGCATGTTTCACTGGTAAAAATGACAGAAGTTTATTGAAGTTTATTATTATTTCTTTTAATTAATTTGTTAAAATCCAATGGAATTCTATCTTAATGAATGTTTTTCATAGAATCTGCTTTTTGCTTATTTCATATGGTTGAGTTATATAATGTTAAATTTGGCATGTGTATTAATAGTACTCCCGCGGGCCAGCTGTTGTCACTCTGTGGTCACAGAACGTTTTTGTTTTTTTTCCTCTTTATCTTTCTTTATTTTTGTCAGGGTGTTTGGCACGAGCATGGTGGAAGAGTACGAGGAGAATGCCGAACCGTCGGAGAGAACTGAAGACCAGGATGATGACCTGGGTGAGATCTAAAATCGCTGCCAAATGGTCAAATGTGCTCCACGCGTGGCTCTGTAACCTCTGTGTTATTTTGGATCACCAGTCATCATTATTTATATTATCCCTTATTAGTAATTTATTTTTATTTTTTTATCTGGTGGAAGAAAATAACAGTCCCACAAATATCTGTGTGAGGAATTGAAGGTTTTGTTTGTGTTTCTTACAATTTAACAAACTTGTTGATGGTAATCTCTTTAGACTATCCCCCTGGATCCACATCTGGTGAAGTCAAGTTACCCAAGAACCTGATTGGATCAGCCAAAGGTCTTTAACAGCATTAGAAACGCTAAAAAATGAGTAGACAAGTTCCTTTTTGGTGACTTTGGTTACTTTTTTTGTCTGTTTCCTAAGCAGATGCCATTTTGGACATGGTAAGCAATATTGCTGTCAATGTTCTCGGGACAAGCTCAGACATGAAAGGTATGAACGGGACATCGCACCACCATCCGCTGCTTTTTTAATTTAATTAAATGCATCTGACTCAAGCTTTTTACCTCCCCCAATACTGTGCACAGCCTCCTGATTTAAAACTTACCCCCCGCTGATAATTCAGTGATTTGCGCGGCTATTTTTTCATGCTTTCCCATCACATTTTTCCAAGGCAATCTTTCATCGGAGGATGTGAACATGACTGAGCCATCACAACAGCCTGAAACCAGCCCTGAAGCTGTGACTACTGACCTCACTACAGTGTGAGTACCTGAAAAGCTCTTTCACTTATCGGCCATGTTTGACTTTTTGCTCTTATCAGGCGGGTTGAGCGGGTGTTTGCCACCTCCATTCACTGTATTGTTTCTTTTTCATTTTTATTTTATCCTTCAGTCCAGACACTGAAGAAGTGCAGATTTTCCAAGACTCTGATGTGGCTCCAACCGCAGCTCCGTCCTCAGAGACACCGGCCGCTGACAGCAGTGAGCAAACGCTTCCCCAGGTGGAGGATAAAATAGTCATTCCCTTAGAGAATGACGAGGAGGAGCCAGTCAGATCTACAGTCACTCTCATGAACGAGGAGGAGTCGGAGGAACACAAAGACAAAAAGGGCGGTCACGACCCACACGAAGAAAGCCTAAAATGTTGCCCACCATCTGCCTCTGCCTCCCCCTCATGCTCGTGCGCGGCTTCCTTCCAGGAGTCCGTCCAGCGCCAGTGCTCGGCTGTCCTGTCCAAAAAGAGAAAATGCCAAACGATGGGCAAAAAGCAAAAAACTCCCCACATCAAAGCACCCGCCTGGAAGCTATCCATAGTCCACACTGCCTGCCCCGAGCCCCGGCCGCAGCACACCGAGGCACATCAACCCCACCAGGGGGAGCCGACCACCGAAGGGGAGCCGGAGAGGGACGCGGCCATCCCGGAGGCGCCGCAGGCAGCAGGGCAAACGGAGCCGTCAGCGGCCGACCCGATTGAGCTGGAGCCCAGTCAGACCGCCAACCTCCCCAAACCCAGCGACTCATCTTCGGCCAGACCCACCCCCGCTGTGGACACGCCCCCGCCGTCTTCTGAGGAACCCCCAACGGGGCCGGGGTCGGACAAGAGCCCGGAGGTGTCGACTGAGGAGAGGCCCACTGAGCCTTCAGCCTCTCTCAGCAGCTCCGTCCAGGCCAAACCCAGCGTCTCGGAGGACGAAGCGTCCGAGGAGAGGCCGAGCGCCGACGCTCCCCCGCTCCAAGCAAAGTCCCCCACCCACGTCCAGGGGGCCGCCCATCAGCCCTCAGTTCTCCTGCCGGCCCCCTCTCTTCACCCCGAGCACCTGGCTGAGCCCACAGCCGCGGCCGAAATTGGCCCCGCCTCCACAGAGGCGCCCCCCCCAGACCCGGACTCGGTCACCGAGCCCGAGCCCGCGGAGGACCCTCCAGAGGACACGGCGGGATCATCAGCCGGCAACGGCCAGCCGTTCCGCCCCCCGTCGCCGAGCCCCTCGTCGGCCCCCTCGCCGTCGCTCTCGGACATTTACGCCGAGCCCTTCAACGGAAGCGAGCAGAACGGGAACCAGGTGCACGGCTCCAGCCAGAGGGAGTCGGTCTTCATGAGGCTCAACAACCGCATCAAGACGCTGGAGGTGAACATGTCCCTCAGCGGGCGCTACCTGGAGCAGCTCAGCCAGAGGTGAGCGAGGCCTTGAGATCCACCCCGTTTTTTTTTTTCTTTTTTTTTTCTTTAAACGGTATCTTCTCATTCAGTGTTTTTCAACCACTGTGCCTCGGCACACTAGTGTGCCGCGAGTGATGGTCAGGTGTGCCGTAGAAAATCATCCTATTTCACCTAATTGGTCTGAAAAGATTTTTGATAAGGAATTAATTATCTGCAAATTAATGTGCCATTTGTGAGTGTCTGTGCTGTACTATTGACTGGTGGCGTAATCATGTAATAATTCCTTATGACTAAATTTTGAATATAATTTTGTATATTGAAGTGGCCATGTTAAGAGCAATTTGAAAGACGAAATATAAAATATGATAAAAATACATTTTTGTGTTTATTTGATTCCTATTCAAGACACTTAAGATAAGACTTAGACTTAGACTTTCTTTATTGTCATTGTACAAAAAACACAAGGTGAATCTTGACAACGAAATAGTGTTACTATAGGCGGATACAGATTTGTTTGACATTTTTGGTTGGTGGTGTGCCTCGGGATTATTTCAATGAAAAAATGTACCTTGGGTCAAAAAAGGTTAAAAAACACTGTTCTCATTGAAGGTATCGGAAGCAGATGGAGGAGATGCAGAGAGCTTTCAACAAGACCATCATCAAACTCCAGAACACTTCCAGAATCGCAGAGGAGCAGGTAAACGGCAAGCAGCAGGTTCTCTGACTTTAACACGCCATTCGAGTCGTTCTGAGTCCTGACCTCTGGCCGGCTATTTCCTCTGGTGTCTCTCGCAGGACCTCCGTCAGACTGAATCCATCCAGCTGCTGCAGGGTCAGCTGGAGAACGTGACTCAGCTGGTTCTCAACCTGTCATTAAGAGTCAGCCAGCTGCAGATTGAGGTAGATTCAACATTCTCTTTTTGCTCTAGACGTCCAGACTTTAGAGTTGAGCAAGTCGCTGACCGAAGCTGGCTGTTTTTTTTTTTTTTTTTTGTTTTCCAGGTGTCAGACAGGCAGAACTACCTGCTGCTGTCTCTCCTGCTGTGTTTGTGCCTCGGCCTCCTGCTGTGCATCAACCACTGCCGCATCGCCGCCCCCTCGACCACAGAACCGGATCCACCCACCCCCAAAAGCTACACCTTCAGCTGCCCCGAGAGGTACTGTTCGGGAAAGGTTTACCAACCATGCATTATTTCTCCGGGAAAAAAATGTTTCAATACACGCACGAAGTCCACAGCCATGCAAAGTCAGAAAGCCAAAATAGAGGTGGTTGTTCAGTAAAACCGGACCAAAAACACGACCTTATGCCCGAGAGCAGCCGAAGAGCTGTTAGCCAAGTTGTGGCTAACGGCTAACAGCCTAAGCTTTGTTGTGGTAACAAAGCTTAGGCATGAAAAAGGAGCTATTGAATTAGAAAGCAAGAAATAATTCACAGATCTATATCCCAGCAGGAGCTCCCATCAAGCATTTATTATCTTAAATGAGCACCAGCTTGTTGGACTTTTTTGTTATAGCCACACAATGCACTCCGTCCCCTTTCTTCCCCAGAGGCAAACTAAGTCAGTTTTAACTTCTTTAGTTTGGTAAAAAGGTTCAAAGGTCAGAGTTTGCGTGATCCGCTCCGACAGAATACGTCACGGTAATGGAAGGCCTTTACAAAAACACGATAACACTGTTAAAGCTTTGCGTCTGCTTCACTGTAAATGGCGTCGGAGCAGAAGACCGACTGAAAATTTGATATGAAACCTAAGTCTACAGAGGTTACACTCACTGATTCTCCGAGTCAGACGCCACACGGAGCTGTGCAATCGCATGTCTGAGATTGATGTCTTAATAACGCTCCCACACGCAGGCTCTCTGTCAACCAATTTGTGCCCCCTCTGCTTAACAGGTCGTTCTCCTTCTGCGATGAGACGGGCCTGAAGAGGAGCGCCTCCTACCCCCTCATCCACTCAGAGACGCTCCAGCTAGCCACCACCGAAGGTTGGAACACGGCCGAACGCATAACAAGGGCAATGAAAAGAGTGCCGGTTGTAGAATGACATGAGAAATTCACCCCGCTTTTGGTCGACAGGCCCAGAAATGCTGCACGCAGAGGAGACGCAGAGTCTCTGTCCACAGAACAGAAAGGTGAGCTGGACTTTTTTATTTTTTTATTTTTATTTTTTTTTACCTTCTCCTGTTCAGCATTATGGCAGCAGAACTGAAATCTGAGTATTGTGCTATGCTGAACACATTTGCTTTGCCCCCCTTGATTATCCAACACTGCTTTATTTATTTATTTATATTTGTTGTGAAACTTTACCTGTTTTCAATAATGCCAAACCTGACAGAGGGACAGGGAAGAAAGAAGAGCAAAGAAAAACAAACCCGAAAAGGAGAAAGATCCTTTAGGCAGAGAGAGAAAGAAAAAAGAAAGACAGCAAAACCATACAACCAGCTGCTATGTCTGTAAAAAAAAAAAAAAAAAAGTAACAAAACCGTCCTGTTTGAGGCCTGAACGGCTTATGGTTGAACTGTTTTTTGTTTTGTTTCTCTTCTTCTCCCTAACCGGCCCTACGCAGCGGAGACGTCGCCGGCTGAAGCCCATGGAAAAGGTGGAGACTCTGAAGCCTTTTCAGGCCGCTCCCGAACTCTCAAACGGCGCCGCGGTGTGCAACGGGGCGCCCTGCCTCCCCAACCCGGCGTTCCTCGCCAAGCGCCTGCTCCACCCGGCCTTCAGGGACTCGCCGTCAGAGGGCAGCTCGGAGGGCTCCTCCCACTCCGACGACCCCTCCTTCTGCGGCATCGCCACCGCCTGCTCCCGCCTCTGCGACGGCCTCCCCCCGGCCAAAACCCGCGCCGAGAAGCGGGCGCTCAGGCGCCGGCGCCCCAAGCCCGGCTGGACGGCGGCCGACCCGCTTCTGCCGCCTCTAAAGGACAAGAGCGCCGCGCCGCCCGTCACCCTGCAGGACATCACCAACAGCAGAACGGAGCGCAAACCCGTGGCGCCGCTCACGGGTCCGGTCTGACCCCCCCACACACACCCTTTTGTTTCGCTTTAGCAAGGCAGCTTCAAGCCTCAACTCCAGACAATCTGTCGGTCCTCCCTGAGGACTTTTGGGTTCCGTTCGTGCTTTCTGTTGGATTTATTCTGGACGTTTTTATTTGTCTTCACTTCAGATAAAAAAAGAAAAATGTCTTCCCAGCCTTCCATTATTAAAGCATTTCTGTTTTTTGAGTAATGGGTGTCACAAATTTAAAGAGGGAAATCTTTTTTTTTTTACAGGTCTTTGCTTTCTACAAAAGTTTTGCTTGACTCAGAGGGAAGAAAAAGAAAATTCTCGGCATCTCACGGTGGCCGTTTCATGCAGTTCTGATGTTAGCAACTTCCTCTGTAAGCCTCAAATTCTGCTGTCAAACGGGTGCAGCAGATCGTGCAGGGCTTAAAGAAAGGCTTAAAAAGAAAAAAGTAAAGTAATATGAAATATGAAGTAATTATTTTTAAATCACAAGGGCGAAACCCGAGCAAGGAATTTAAACCTTTATGCACCCGTTTGTCACAACGTTGCCCTCTGGCTCAAAGTAAAACGACTTAAAGCCCCCCAGTAAGTCGGGAGTTCAGTCAGCTCAAGATGCTTTCACTCAGTTTTTAATTGATTTTTTGTCAAGATTCAGTTGACGACTAGGTTTCTGTCTCGTTCCAAATAAACTATCTCTTGCTCCTGGCCAATTAACTCGCCTCACGGGGGGGTGACGACAGGAGGCTTTGACGGTGCGTTCACTGCCAGCTGAATCCGATCTGAAAAAAACGGGGTCACGGTCTGAACTGTGAGCTGAGAGACAGAATCCCTACGCAGTCATTCTGATTATCAATCAGCGGGTCGGTTCAGAATCTGAAAGGGTCGTCTGCGTTTGAGCTCTTTTCTTTTGACAGGTTGTAGAAGTGGAAGGAATCGGAGGGGAGGGGGGGGGGGGGACAGGTATAAACAAACAGGTCAGCTCACAGCATACGAATGATGTACATCAATGAAGGTAAGAAATTACACTCCTGGAACACTATATTTTTTTGTGTTTCTTTTTTTCTTCTTTCCCAAACAGATTTCCCAAAAGAAGAAAAACCGAGCCAAGTTACTTTTGAAACCTTGTAGGAATCTGAAAGTTTAGCTGATGTAATCCATAGTTGGGTTGTGTTCCTATCTGGGAGCTTCTTGGCTCCAGCTGAGTTCTTTTATTTTTGTCTTTTTTTTAGCGAGCTTTGCAACGTCTGTGAGGATGAACGCCCGGCGGCAGCAAAGATTCAGGCTCCCGGCCACACGCGCAGAAAATGGACAAGTACCACATGTGGTCAGGATGACGAAAGGCTGACCAAACCGTGGAGAACCACCACAGGTATCTGTCTGAGTGGATGGACGCGTTTACAGAGAGGACCTCGGATTGACTTGTGGAGGCACCTATCCATTATGTATAGGCCTAAAAAAAAAAGAAAGATTGAATCTAAACTCTTCAGAAAACTGTCCGAAAGTAGAGGATTCTCTTTTTTCCAAGCGGAGCCTTTTAATAACCCTGAATTCAGTTCCTTTTATTTAATTTACCTCTCTAATGTGCACCTAATACTGACGATGAGATTCTCTCTTAAGTAGTCGTGATCATGGGGTTGGGTTTCGTGGAAAGGGTTAGCAATTGTTTAGTTTTTATCTTCATGTTGAGTCTTTTGGGCATGTTCTAAATAAGAAATCAGGGAAAGAAAGTGACCTCTAAATGAACCATAAGCCTCCGTTTGGTCTTCAGTGTTCTGCGTTGTTTACAGACCCAAAGAGTTCCATATGGTTCCGTGTGAGCTCCCATCCTTAAACATCGTACTACTTTATAAAGACGGACTAAATTTACATTCTTGTTTGTTCGGAGCAAAAACAACTGAATCGCTGGGAGGCGTCTCTTCGCTCTTCTTTTGCAAAAGCTGATGATGCTGTTCCTTCCGTCGGGACGTGTTGGATGCTGTGTCACTGGTTCTCAGAACGGAGGACCAGGGGGAGGGTGATGCTCCAATTCCCAGCACAGAGACGAGGGAAAAACAAAAAGGCAGCGGGCACTGCAAAAGCAGTGTTTAAACGTAAATTACAACAGAATTCAATGATTTAATTAACATTTCTCGCTCAGTAGAACAATTAAAGCACATAGAAAATTGAATGTTAGAAATGACTGAGTGTCATCTAACATTTAGTCCCTTTTTGTTTAAGGATATAAGATGAAAACAAAGTCCACTAATTGCATGCACACTGAAAACAATCTGATAGCCGTGCAGCGCTCATACGAAGACGGTGACTTAAATGGTTTCAAGACACGTTTATTCATATATAGCTCAATTTGCAATCTTAGAAATGTATTGAAATAACAAACTTATCATCTAAGGACTGTTAACGTTTCAGAATGAACACAAATCCCTCCATTGCAGCTGTGACAGGTCTGCAGGTACCCGGAAAATGAACTGCAGTAACCTCACTTACATAAGCGATTACTCTCTCCGCCCAGCAGGGGGCAGTGTGACACTGGCCTAAACCCCTCCCTGAGCAAGCTTTCTCTGCACCATCACCATTATTTCCCATGTGATGAGTCACTATTCGGGTTTTGAAGTAAATTATTTTGAGGGATAATTCCTGTTTATGCCACACACACACTCATTGGCCTAAATAAAGCCACAGATTGTGCTTCTGTTCTGTGCTTGTTAGGATCAGATCAGAGGGAGCATTGTGGAGATTCACAGGACACAGAGCAGAGGTCCTTATCAGAACTAGGTCTGGATGCGAGGTCCCATCCGAAGGCATTCATCGTAGGCCTGGAGCCGCGTTTCGCTCAGCCCGGGACAACTGGATTATTTGCTTTGCTCACACTCTGTTTTCTTGTTGGCTGCGGCCGCGCAGGGTTAGCGCGCTGGTGGAAAGTGAGAAATTAGGTTAAAACCTCTTTATTCATCTGACCTGGTTGTGTAGCAGGAGCCTTTCAGAGATAAGCTGGCCTGATGCTCTTTTTTTCCCCCACTCTTCCCCTCCTTCTCTCTTTTTCCCCTTCATTTTGTAAACAGAATTCCTAGTTTTTCTCTCTCTTGCCGCTGCCTCACTCCAAAGATTATCTGCAAATGCAGCACTGCAATCCTCTTTCCCCGTGCACTCTGATTTTATCCAAGGTCTGGGCTGAATATTCCCAGAGTGCCACTGAATGCAGCGTGCCTGGTTTTGGTGGAGTGGCCTCAAACAAGTGGACGAAACGAAGCCTTTTCACTCTTTGTAAACTTCACCTTTGCTTTCCTTTTAAATTTGAAGGAGCACACGTGCACATGATGACCGGCTTACTGCGAAAACTACGCAAGCTAATGGATATTTTTTTATTTTATTTATTTTATTTTTTTATTGAACTTTTTTGCAAAGCAGGAAATTAAATATTAAACACTCTACGTACGTATGAGAGGGATGTACACATATATAAGAATAATAATAAAAAAAAATAATAAAAAATAATAATAATAGTTAAAAAGAAAAATAATAATAAAAAAAAGCTAATGGATTTTAGCCCTCCACGTTGCTGATATATACATTTCCACCAACCTCTGACTGATCTCCGCTTTCTTGTTCTGTATCTTCTTGCACGTTGACTCTGTAAAGCTGGACTTGTAAAACCAGAGAGTCCAAGAGGTTAGAAATATCTGACACGCTTGCTCAGATTTGCGTCATCCCGCCTGATGAAAACCGCACGTGGCCGCATCTGAAATTCACCTTTTAGGGAAAATGACCTCACGATGTCTTCAGGGCTCGGTTGGAGAGTTAAAGTAGAAGCCGCCGCGGTAAAGCTGCAGTGCACGCCGGGGTTTTGGGGGCACAGCTTAAGCTTTTATTGCAACCCCCTAGCACGGCAATGTGCGTAAAAGCCTCGAGCCGCCTCTCATTTCCTTATGTTTTTCACGGAGATGAAAGCGGGAAACGGACGCAGCGGTTTGCTGAAACGTATACAAATGGAAAAGGGAATACAGGGTGAGAGCAGAAACAGGGTTTGTATAATATGAGCAGGATTCATGGTCGGTATTTAGTGTGAGCACAGCCTGGACTCACCTTTTTTTTTTTCATTTTCTTTAAATATTCCTCACAAATAGTTCTCCTGTCTTCCCAAGAATGGCTTCCTGACACCCATCCACCTTTCAGATGAGCAAAGAGTACATCCAAAATGCATTGTTAGCTCTTTTTTGAAGACTTTTTATAACTATTTGAGGACATCACCCTCACAAAACGTTCATCTGGTTAGCCCTGTTGGTCTATTGCCTTGTCTTCGGTCCCCCTCTTGTCCAGTTTCTTCACATTTGTATAAGGTTACACTGCACATCACGCTGAGTAACGCCTGGTTTGGCATCGCCTCGTGTAATAACTGCAACATTTGTTTCCATAGAACACATTTAACAAAGTATACAATCGACCCAGAAAGACTTTGATCCTTCTGATAACCATACAACAACCAAGTGTGGCAACTAAGAAGAAAATATTCAGAAACGAGGGGTTGATGACATTTTTTACCTGTTATCGCTTCTTTGATTGTCAACATTATTTTACAGTATCAATTTTGTAACTTTCTCGAGTGTGGTTGAGCTTGAAGCTAAACAAGAGCTCTTTTTCTTACATTTTTAGAAGCAAAAACCAGTGCCCTGGCTTTACTGTGCCTCAGCGTGGCGCGTGTGCCCGTGTGCCCTGGCAGGATGGGTAATGAGCATGTCAATACGTGGTGGAAATGAGGCAGAAAGCATTGGAATTGGAAACCAATAGATCTGCCAGGCCACTTGCAGTGTTTCTCTCACTTTGATCAAATCTCAGTCAAGTGTAAACGCAGGGAGAGGGAGGAAAGCAAAAAAAAAAAGGACAAGAATCAATCCCGTATGTTGAAATATCAAACCGAGCTGCTCGAGTCGTGACATTCACGGCGTGTTCAATTTGGCCTGAGCAGAAACTAATTTTAGAATATTAATCGGCCGCGATTTGGATCTGGCAAGGCTAATTGGGTCATCGTCGG